CTTCACCATATAATCTTGCATAATGGTCAATGACTGTAGGACTTGTTTCGTTTCAAGATAAGCTGCGATTCTAACAAAATCTATATCTTGAGAGTTGTAATTCTAGCTCAGCTAAAGGGGTCTAGTCGGCAATAGAGAATGAATATCTAGTGAAATAAGGGAGCAGCGTATATTGTGGGGATAGATTGGCCGGTCGGTGATATGCGCTTCAGAAGCATTGTTAGATAAAGGCGGTGATTGGTTCCGCTTTGGACTTGCTAGGTCGTTTGAGGACGAAGGGGGGTACGGTGCGAAGGTAGGTTCTCGACTACTTAAGCAAACATCCAAATCCGTATTCTGACTGAAGGGTACGGAACTGCATTTTGTGGCCTTTGAGTTAGCTTAGGATTCGTGGAAGTAGCAAACAAGTTAAAAATCCGAACCTCTCGCTCGCGGGCTGAATTGAAGAATCTATGTTAACCTTCAATTCTAGTTGGGGGCTCTTTGGCTTGTCGCGTCCCTCTTAAGACAGCTATCGGCTCTTTCGGTTTATTGTCTTTTTTCGACGTTTCCCGGGCTTGCATTTCAACGGTTCATTGGGATTATCGGTATCAAGGCTATCGTTTTTGGGTCGAGGTCGGATAGAGCGATACTTTGGGGTAGGGGTGGTGGTAGAGGGGGAGAGCGCGAGTGGTGCTGCTAAGTAGGGTGCTAGAGGAGGTTGTTCGTAGACGAAGTCGTGAGATTCCACTACTAGTGCGTATGCTGAAGTATATTGCGGTGAGATATATAAGCTTAGGTAACTTATGAGACTAAATAGGCACTGATCATAGGATCCTATGTTGATCCGGAGTGGAGGTTTTAAATAGAGCCGCAAGTTTTCTGAAGTATATAAGAAAGATAAGCCTAGGATATTGCTAAAAAATGCACAATAGTGAAAGTGAAAAAGATCGATCTAGCTTGCTATGGTGTAGCGTAGGATAGGCCCTTCTTATTGAGGATTTGGGAAGGGGATTGGCGTTTCTTTCTCGCTCTTAGTGCATTAGATTAGTGGAAACCTCTGACTATATATAATTTGATGTCTCTATACTCTTATTTCTATTGGAAGATAGTGTAGATATACTAATCTTTGGTTTCGCCCAAGATAGTTAGTCCGAAAATACAAAAGTAGTCGTTATTTGACGGTTTGCGCTTTTTTGGCTTGATATACTCCACTTTCTAAGCTAGTGAGTATATAAATCGATATTTGACTAGAATTGATAAGTCTCGTTAATTGCCGGTGGATTTCTTTAGTCTATCCTATAAGTGTCTTTCTTTGCGCTTCTCTTATTTAAGTTTCTCCGGATTACACTGTTTTACGCCAGGGAATATGAATAGGGATATAGCTTTGTATATATAAGTCATAGTCTAGAGCTATTTCCAACCGTAATAAATAACATTGTCGAATAGCTCACTCCGACGGCTTGTTTGAAGGATCTAATAGAGCTACGCTCTATTTTGAGCCTAAGCGCTTAGAAAAATAGGAAAAAGAAGATTGCCGCTTTATTCCTAACCTATAGGGTTTTTGGAATGTCCCTACTACGCACTAATACTAAGTCTACTCTTCTATAGAAAAAGATATAAATACCGACTTTTTGAAAGACTAAGTACATAGTAAAGTGGGACGGGACTCGTGTTTCTGATTGGTCTAACAACCCCTTGCTAGTCTGTGATATAATAAGGGCCCGAGAGTATTCTATCGCATCCAAGCATATAAAAGGCGCCTAGCCCAAGAGTCTAGAAGATATGCCTTGTCAATAAATAACTTTGCCTTCCCTTTGAAATGTCGATTATCTCTCAAAATAGTGTAAGACATCAATTGTTTCCTCGAATAAGCTACGAACTAAATAATATAGTTTCCTATCCCCAAAGCGGGTCTCCAAAATAGCGTATCAACAACGCTAATAGCGCAACAAGTGTGGTACCTAGGCATAAGAGAGGCTAGGCAAGCAATAAAGCGGCAGCCTAAGCTCAATACTAGAACTACATCCCTAGTCTCCACCTACCAGGCCCTTAGAAAGTATCAATACCGCTCCTAGGCCAAGCGCAGAGCTTTGGCCAAAAATAGTATCCTAAATAACAAGCAATCTCAAGGATCGTTCTTTGGTTATGCTTTCGCTCCTCGCTTGGTATTTCGACTCAAGACTGGTCCCTCTTCCCTAGGGGCTTATTAAATTCTTCGCCAAGCCTAACAATCAATTTGACTCGGTTTGCGCATCCGTTTACCTTAGCTACACCAATATATATGAGTCTCCCTTGTTGGCGGACTTTAAGGAGAAATTGAGCTATCTATTAGGGTTCCTAGAATAGCACGTGATTAAAGGCGCCGCGGTGTTGTATATATAATTTCTGTTTTGACACTTAGGGCTTTCTATGTTATGACACTCCCAAGTTTTGAATATATTTGCACCCTAAGCAACGACCTTATTACTAATTTGCTACCGGAGTCTCATATATAAAACCCGGGTAAACTTTAGTCTTATTTTCGTTTGTTCCTATTCTATGCCTTATATGCTAATATATAGAATAAGATAATGATTCTGCTGTTCGGATGATTCTCTGTTAGGATATTACAATATTACTTCGTTATCGCTCGACAAGACTTTTTTATAACGCACCCTATAGCTTACCGACTTAACAAGCTTTTAATCTAGACTTTGATCACGGCCAACAATATCGCGTCTATTGTTTCTCTACTAGGAACTATGTCTATATCAGTCTCAATATATAGAGGTGCTTGCTTCGCGAATAAATACTCACTATATTTGTCAAGGACGAAGTCAAGTTCGAAGTATTTATTATATAAGCGACGTCTAGGGCTATCTCCCAATAGAAGATCACATTCAGCTATTTCGAATCCAATCGCCATATGGTAACATTAAAAGAATTCGGGAAAGTCTTTCTTCGTGATTAAACTAAGACCTCTATGAATACTATCTCCTTCACCTTCCTCCCGACAATGACGATAGCACGCATTAATATCCGAAAAAAGCTGGTAATAGCGAGGACATATATATTTCAAGTCCGATTTGACCAGACCTTTCAGCAAAATTGCAAGCTATCTTTCAACGTCTGACATATCGAGACGAATGGATACAAATGACAAACGAAGTAGAGGCCTACGACGAAGACCTCCTTTTATAGTAGGCGTAGCGTTGCCAACGTATATGCAAGAATAAAAATTGATTGAATTACTTGCCAAATACCAAGAACTAGCGGTATCAACGCAACTATCGTCTGGCTTTGACTATACTAAGTACCCGAGGTTTCTATTAGACTCCACGTCAGCTGCAAGGATACTATATCATGACGTGGAGCGAGCGGTACAGAGGCTTCTATTATTCAAATGTTCACACTTCGATTTCTTTGTGCGTTATTTTAGCTCTAGGGATGACTATCAATCCAACAATATCTCTGTTCTATCCCAAAGAGAATTCTAATCGTCCTCGCCTATGAGCTGCTAGGCAAAGTATACCAATTCGGGCCGTTTGAAGCTTGGATAAACGTTCTTAATTCAATCTGCACGGTTTTGGGTTCGAGCGGTGAAATACAAATACACCTGAAAAGTGGGAATTTATGTGAAAAGACCCAGATATTGTGTTATATCATGTATATCTGCAAGGTGTTCATCCAGAGGGCTTGCCCAAGAGTTGAGCTTTATGAGCCTGTCCTGAATTAGTACGCCGTATCAGGATCAAATATTGAAATTTGCCTTACTGCCGCAAAAGATCAGACTCCATAACGTAGCGCTCTTTTGTGGGGTCGATGGTGGTGTGCGAGGATTCAAGTATGTGCCTAAGGACTCGCGGTTCGGCTTATAGACAGGGCCAATTGGTATTGGCTAACAGATGATAGGTTTAGGTACAATGGTCTGATTGCTAGACCTATGCGAGTCACCTGGAAGCACGGCTTGCGGGGAGTGAAGGGTTGATTCACCGATGCTCTGCTTGGTAGAACCGCGTCTCTCTTCGAAATCAAAGCCTGCTGAAGCAGGTACCGTGTTTTGCTGATCCTCCAATGGGGTTCCGAAAGACTCCATTGAGGAATTGTCACCAGAAGCAGGGAATTTGGATTGAAAATGGGCAATTGTCTCTACCAGCTGTCTGAAGGATTTCATCGGAACGCAGAAGCAGTGCGGCAGTGTATTGGAATGCTTGCAGCGTCGAGGCCGCCATCAATACGCAGGACTAAATACCCCTGGGTCGATACAAGGTCTCGTATATTACTCCGACTCTCATGTTTAGCAATGATTCTCCAACACCAGGGCTGGCTGCTTCATGGTTGTTTGCTGCATGAGATCCATCAGATAGACTATTTTTTCAAGGTGGCCAAAGCAACTCCAATACAACAAAATTTAATTTATTCGGATGTTTATGTGATCGTGTGCAGTTATAAAGCAAGTCTGGTACGCAGCGTCCGTTACATTGATTGGTTGGTTGATTCGGCTTGGCAAATGAGGAATGAATTATTGGCCGGTTACTGTGCCACAGCGATATACGCGTTCTCCCGTATTCTCACTCACCATCCCGGATTTTCACTTGCCCTCCCGGACTCCCGTGTTCTCACTTATCCTCCCGTATTTTCATTGATCCTCCCGTATTCTCACTCACCATCCCGGATTTTCACTTGCCCTCCCGGACTCCCGTGTTCTCACTCACCCTCCCGTGTTCTCACTCACCCTCCCGTGTTCTCACTCATCCTCCCGTGTTCTCACTCATCCTCCCACCTTCTCACGCGTCGTTGATCATTGCCTTTCACTTGTTCTGGATTGTCTGCCGGCTCATGTGAATCTCCATCTAGTCTTACATGCTGCCTAGCCGAGACAACGTCTCTTTCACTTCCATTGTTGTTCAACAAGCGAACGTCGATTTTCGCGCTTCATTGCTTATTATATTATTTTGGGCTGTGAGACCTCGAATTGCCGATTTGCGAATTGGTGGAAAAAAGGGGCTCTCGGCTTAGAGGCCTCTCGACCTACCAGCATGTCCAAAGCTGCGAAATTCAATGCCCACGTATTGAAGAAGCTGCAAATCGCAGTAAAAAAGGATCCAGAGATCGACTTGGCCGAGCAATTTCCCACCGATTATCCGCAACGTCTGGTGGAAATGAGGGAATCAATTGAGAGCTCTCCGAGTAAGCGTCGCGATACCAGAATTTCGTCTCTCCTTGGTCGCAGAGCTAACATCGTTATGTGATAGAGAAAACCAAGTTCACTCCCCAGAGTCTTCCCGAAGCTGATGAAGACATTAGACGGTCCCTTTGTCCATCAGACCCGGTCGAAATTTTATTCCCCCTCTCAGACGCAGTGGCTGATTTACTCGAGTCGGTATCACAATCTGCGAAGGCTCTGCCTGCCGGACTTTCGCAAAGGCTGTTTGAGGTTCTGCAGAATAGTGATGTCCTGTGGAAGGCTCCCTTCGCCCGTCAGAAAGGTGTGTTCAAATGCTCTGCAGACATAGTTGTCAAAGCAGTTCGCAACATGAAACACTACACTGAATACACTACTTTACAATATCTTGACCGTCATAAGCCAAATATTCTAGCACCAAAGCCGCTCGGCTTAGTGCGTATGAGTGGAGTCTCTTTGATATTCATGAGCCTGATGCGCTCGGTGCCTCTTGGGGAATTTTGGCATACACTTACTTCTTGTCAAAAAGTATCCCTTAGCAATCAACTCAACACTATACTCACAGACTTGAGAACTCTTCCTTTTATAGAGGGGGCTCCCCTAGGAGGAATCGCAGGTGAAGGCTGTCAAGACCTTAGAAGGCATGTTCGAATGAGCGAGGCACCTATCTTCAACCTCGAAGATTTTGAAACATTTTTGTTCTCTAGCTCGCACCCGGGCGGCGACGTGTTCGTCAAGTTCCTTCGGCGATTGTCGCTGTATTTCACAGCCCATTCGGGCCCTCGAATCGTGTTCACGCATGGAGACCTAAGGCCGGACAATGTTATGGTTGAATTGGCTGATAACAATCAGTATATGATATCTGGAATACTTGATTGGGAATATAGTGGGTTCTATCCCGACTATTATGAATCTGTCCGCTGCACAAACTGCCTTAGCCCGTACGAGGAAAATGACTGGTTTCTATATCTGCCAGAATGTGTCTCACCCAATATTTACGCTCAATGGTGGCTCCTCGATCGAGTCAGAGAAACCAGAATTGTATAAGCAGACCTCTGGGGATAGTTTAAGTACCATTTTTCTATGTGTGCTCGAAATCAATCCATTTTAATCTCTTTGGTTCGTTTGAGTCTGCGACTGGTTTAGATTATTTTGGATGGTCGAACTAAATGGGCTAGCAAAGGTCTTGTGTTCGACTAAGTAAATTAGGCCTAAGTCACTAAAAGTAGAGAACAAAATGGTGGACTGATTCTATCTGCCTTGTACGACAAGGCTATCAGATGATTGCACCCCTTTTTCTCTTCAAAATGCTTCGAGCATCACGGTAATCCTGATCATCCTCGTCCAAAACAAATTCCTCTTCCAGCTTATCAAGGGTCCCGAGCACGTAGTCCTGGCAATCCCATTCCACTGTCTCGTTGTCAACGTTAATTGTTGACGCGACGTTTTTGATTCTTTGGATGTCGGATTTACCGATGACTCCAACGTATTCCTTGCCCAGAAAGCTGCTAGACTTTTCAGCATTGGCTTGAAGGACGTTACGCTTGAAATTTGGATGTTGTCCAATGACTTCAAAGATGGTTGGTTCATCTTCGTCATCAATTTGCAGAGCCTAATGATGATAGTTGCCGTAGCGCGGGCGATAGAACACAACGTAAAGTTTGGGGTTTCCTATTATGCTTTAGTAGGTGTGTCTAATTGAAGAAAACATATGTCAGCGATTGTATTGAACAGAGTATTCCTGGATACTAACACGATTCGAAGTTGGGGGCCAACATAAACAAAACAATAGTTCTTTGGTTTTTGTGGTTCTTGACAATTTGACTTGGATGCCATCCATAGTTATATGTTCTTTCCGGATGAAGTAGTATTCCAATCAGTCCTCTCTAATGAGCCGCTATACTAGACACTCGGGCTAAAGGATTTTATTACAGTGCTTAAGCTTGACAAATCGGATGCGCACGTAGGTCTGTGTTTCATCGCTATCAACACCATATGTAAGGCTCAAACGCCGAAGGTCTGAGTTGGCTAGCCTAAAAGGTATCAACCAATCAATATTAATTACTGTGAAGTAGCACTAAGGCGCTTTCGAGTCATGTCATCGTCACCTGATGAATTTGCATATTACTTATACCACTCTTACCCCACTTCTTATCTACCCTCCCGCTTTCTCATCTACCCTCCCGCTTTCTTATCTACCCTCCCGCTCTCTCATCTACCCTGCCATCTTTTCGCTTCTCCCCCACGCCTTTGCCCGTGATGCCTCAAGAGGATAAATTCCTATTTCGGTTACAAGCCACGCATCAACTTCTCGAGTCTGGTATCACCGGCCTGGACGATAATCAACGTGACAACGTGATCGCTTACTGCAGTCTGCTTCTTGACAATGCACTTGTTTCTGTTTCAAGCGCAACCCATTACCGGATTATAAAAGTGCGAAAGTTTCTACGAAAAGTGAATACCTAGCTTGGTCCAACAATGCTTGTAATTTGCATGCTGTCCTACCCGTATACCAAGCTATGTCGGCTTGACCTGGAAGCTATTTTCCCAAAACTACAGACATGGACCAAGGAGAACCCTGGTAACACAGAGCTGAAGGATGTAACAAAAAGAACATACGAGCGGCATGCGATAAGAGGTCTATTGGAAAACGCAACTTGTCCTTAATGTATACTATTCATCTTCCATTCTTTCTTGCATTTGACCTTGAAGCCTAGCTGATGATTACAGATCTTCTACAAAAGAAACGCAAGCGCTCTGAAGACCGGCTGCCTTATGAGAGTGCGTCTGACGCCTCTTTCCGGGTTAAACGGATAGACCAAGCGACAGAGGGAAATGCACGGAATTACCTATCTTTAGTAGTTCCGAGAAACTTACCACGTATGTGCTCTTGATACTCTCTTGGGGTTGCTCAATGATTGATAGTTCCCAGAGCCACCGACCAAAGAAAAACAAATTATTCGAACTAATAGTCGTGAGTCTTCACCAGGCTCGAACACATATAAAACAATCACCTACCGACCCCTTGTTCATCAACAATAACAACGCTGACTGCTCATTGGATTTAGGGTCCGGCTTACCTCATGATGGCGACTTTTATCTCTGGGAGAATAGAGAAACCTCAAGAAATTATCGTTAGTTCAACATCCTGCTCGTTAATCATACCTTCTAATCAGAGCTCAATAGCTCCTCAAGTCAATTTTGAAGGCGAGGAGTACGCGACAGCTTCCCCAAGCCACGCAGATCGATATTTTACGACAGTTCGCCGACAGCATCCACAAAGTGAAAGCCAGATTGATATGGATGCTACAAACACACAAGAAATCTTTGAGCATGCCTCTCCCGAGGGAATCGCTACGGTTTTCAGTGGACTTATTTGTGGCGCTATCAGAACCACCTCATATCAATCTAACGGAAATGCATATTCAAGATCTTCGGTGACAACAGTGTTTCCCCCTTGGGGTGGGCTAGTTGACTGTCTAATCAGCCTTGAGGTTTGTGAAGAAACGGTGCAGCGTCTTGCAATGGCTTTGTTCCATGCGTCAGTGAAATGGGTGGCGAAAGCTTTACACATCAGCTTCGAACGAGGAACAACTTTGACCGTCCCTAACTCCGAAGCTACTTTGAAAGGCGTGAAAAAAGAAGCTATTGCCATGGTGTTTGGTTCTGAAATACAGCAGGCAATCGAAGAGAGCCGCATTCATTTGAGAGAGGTAGAGGATGGAAAGCTGGTGACTGAATGTGTTTCAATGATAATTACAGAGAAATGTGCCATCATCAACCTATCGCTTGGTCTGGTCCGAGGTTTAGAAATACAAAAAAAGCTATACACCTAGAAAGAAAGCCGCAATATATAATTGAACAAATGCAACACGTCACTCTTTGACCTTTCCTTTTGTAACGTAAAGTTTGACCCCATTCGGAGCTACCCCTTGTCCATTCGGCATGCCCACAAGTTTCCTAGTCTGTTCCTTTCCTTCCTCGTCACGTTTATAAATAGTAACATTGCTCCCTTGCCAATATACTGTTTGGCCTCTCCCGATAATCATTGCCACACGATTCTCAGACACGTCGCTAAAATCTATGGCGGAATCAAGTGGTTTTTCCTCGAAAGCCTATAGGCATATTAGTTTGCGTGGCATATCGATTAAGTTAGGTTGGACTAACTAACCATTTATCCTTCACGAAGATCACTCCGAGAGAATCTAGGTTGAATGATTAATTTGTTGCTGTGATACGAAGAAACAACGTTGAGCCAGATAAAAGTCCTTCTTCCCAAGGGCCTTTCTGCGCGGATAAAGAGCAAATGTGCTAGTTGCGATAGGTTCAGCGTGAGCTGACAGCTAGTAGCAAAAAATATAGTGCTAGAGTGTACTCACTGTTGTTTTTTAGATGACTTTTCCGTCGGATCCGCGTTGGTTGCCCTTAGTCAGTCATGGTGGTCGCTAAGAGGAGAGGCAGCGGAAAAGGCCGGCGATAATGAATTTCAGAAACCGATGTGGGGTCGTGGTCACGTGATATACAAATAGTCGAAGGTGACAGATGCCCCACGTTGGGCACCGAAGAAATATTTTTCTTTAGGCCAAATTTAAATATGCAATTAGGTTCTGCTATCATAAACATAAATGGCGGAGTCATGTATCCACTCTATTTCTATCCACTGATAACTTTATGCGGACTGCCTTTGAAGAAGCGGCCATCCCTGTTTTGATCTAATAGTAAGGCGGCATCCGACAGCATTTGTACACTATTAGTAAAGTTGTTTCCCTATTGATGTTGATTTTGAAAAGAGTTTGCTATCTTTCTTATGGTGTTTGATGCTGATGCTAGGTAGTATCTGTTGTGATATAAGGCTGGTGCAGATTAGGAAGCAAGCCGCACCATCGGGATTAATTGTCGGAGTTAGAAGGACTTGGCCGTCGGTTTGCTCGCAAACCACTTAGTAGCGAAGCGAACAAGATCTCGAGGTATATGAGCGGTTTGGAGTGGAAGATCATGTCTATGATATAATAGCCGAGTTGTGCAAAATACCGGCGGCCTGTGACGAGTTTAGCCTCGGTGATGGAATCTAGTTCAGCAATCACACAAATCCTTTGAGCAGGAATGAAACCCTTGAAGCAGATACAAGCTAGCTGTCAAGCACGTCCCACCCACGACCAGACCAGTTCTGTATTCATCGTGTCGACGGCAACACGACTACCGTGCTGACGACCGTCGAGTTCAAGCCGCCTCACAAACTGTCTGTCGCAACTCTTCGCATGGGACTACGACCAATGGAGCTGTGGAAGGAAATGGTCAGATCAAATAAAATACCCACCGACCAGGATGCGAAGCTGAGGTACAATGCAGAGCGGCTTGTCTGCTCGGCTTTCGTCCAAGAATACCATGTGATGATTCAAGAAGGGCTCGAATATTCTTATCTGACAAATGGAATTGCCCGTGTCCTACTTCGTGTTCCACGAGACGATCCCACCACTTTGTACTACTTTTTTTGTGATCCCCACAACGAAGTAGACATAGCAGGCGACCTGGACACCCGAATGGCCGCTGCTCAGGAAGTTTGCAGTCTCTGCCTTTAGAAATACATTCCATCAACAGGGTCTTGCCTGCCAAACTCCTTGGAAAACTTTCGATTCGATTCCGTTGCTACTGTAATTCCAAATATCTGTAACTGACTTGCGTTTTGTCTGCCTCCGTCAGAGCGTGTGTGACCGCTGCGATATTTTGGATCTGATTGATGGCAGTCAGCAAGTGGCATATGCCTAAGAATGTGAAACTCACCTCGCGCCCATTGAGGTCCAAAGATCCTAACCTCCTCATGTCATCCTCTTCAACCGTGGCTGGCTGGGCCTTGTATCCGATGGAATATGAAGGCAATCGAATGATCCAGGTGACCAGTCAAAGTCCCTAAGAGCACTGACTGCACATTCCACTGTAATCGTATTAGCCTGAAACAGGAAATTCTCATTCGTGTCACATACAGAACATCTTTTCCTTGAAACTGAAGCAGCAGACTAGAAGTGGAAGGTGGACATCGTTCATCCCGAACACTGGATCTTAATCGATACAATAAGGAGACTTGCGATTTTTTCGAGGGTATTGCATTTACCACATTCCCTGTTTCTCTGTAGCATCTGACCCTTTGACGTGTCGGCGAAATCCTCGAAAAATTAAAAGTATCAGCAATCTTGCTCCCTGATCACGCATACTCCAGCCTCGTAAATCTCCCCTGGGCGTACCGTCAGACCAGGCTGCGTTTCTGGTGCTGGCTCAAAGCCGTCGTGAAGAAGCCCTATAGCAACCATTATCCTGGCAGTAACAGTTTCAAGCAAGCTCGAATTCGAGAATGGCAACATATCAAAATTATTGGTAATAACATAGTCAGCTACCAATATCTTTGCGAAGGTCTACGATTAACACAATGTCTATTTAGAGGTACACTTCGTTTTATTCACTTGACTCTGCATTTTCAGTTCTGCATCATTACTTGGTGCAAGTTTCCGTCCCAATCAGCGTTCAAGGCTGTAAGCCACATCTACCCTCGATGATTTCTAGGCGCAGTATCACATATTTATCCCAAACTTCCGGCCCCTGCCAGCCCTCAAGCCAGGAATTTTGAGGGCACATAGCAAGCGGATTAAAGAACCAAACTCTCATCAGTTTTGCATTCCAAACAGGTCACTGCATGGGATTGAGTTGCGAGCGACACTAGTTTCACGTGTTCGGTCTGTATTCTAGGTAAACAATAAAAAGAGAAAGGTGAGAAAGCTCAACAGCAAGGAAAGGCCGCGCAAAGGTATGAATAAAAACCTAGCGAGCCGTTATCAATATACAGTTAACAACTAACGGTCGATAGCAAATGCTAAAAACCAAATAATGGGTGATGAGTGTCAGACTTCCTAGTCTCCAGACCGTTCATTTGCCTTGAGACTTTCTAAGAAATGGCTTACTATAGCACTGAATATAATTGATGGGTATGAAATATTAGAATGATTGAATGGCTAGGAGATAGTCAAGAGGTGGTCAAGAGGTGGTCAAGAGGTGGTCAAGAGGTGGTCAAGAGGTGGTCAAGAGGTCGTCAAGAGGTCGTCAAGTAGGGCGGTCAGGCACTTCCCAGGTTCAGTCCTGGATGAACGTTTTGACATTAACTAAAGAAAGATCTTATCCCCCGATAACCGGAATCTGCCGAACGAATGCGAGACTCCTTTCACCGGACGCATGGGCAGATTCCGCCGGTCTTGCCCACGCCCGGGGTAGTCAACATTCCAGAAAAAAAAAAAAAAAAAAAAAAAAAAAAAGATTGAAATGGCCTGATAGAATTAGTGGCATTGCAGAAATCTCTGCATAAATTCGATGGAAAACTGCAGCGTGCAACCATTCTTCATCCTCAGATCTTCAAGAATGTATGAAATGTTGAAGCGGCAATACATGCTACCTTCCTTCCATCGATCAATTCGCAGATATCGATCATTGGCAGAAAAATGCCCATCTTCCTGTGATACATATAGTGAATTATCCAAGCGCACATATGTGAGTACCAATAACGATGTGTTATCTTGCCCTATAACGATACTGACGTCCTAAAGTTAAGCCCTGCAACCGTACCTCAGGAACCCCCGGGTGCAATAATAGACTCTCTGTTGCAGGGCTATCGTCCCAAATTCAAGCCCTACCCGCTAGGGTGGGAGGTAGAGGCTCTTCTATCCTTGAGCCCTGCACAATAGATATGCTACTACAATAGGAAACTGTTTGGTGGATATATCGCTTTTTTGATGGACCAAATTCTGGCTAACTCCTGCAAGAATGCGGTGACCGCCTTCCTGAATACGTCCTACCTCCAATCGGTCCCACCAATAGCACCGATACTCCTTCGTGCATGGCCCGATAGGGTTGAAGGTCGCAAGATTTACCTGAATGGATCACTCTAGATCCTAGGGAAATCTCCTCAAAATTGGGTTGACGCGATCAAAACGGAAGCTTTGTTTATAAGGCCAAGATACTAGGAATAATGGCCATCTAGTTATCACATATATAATCATTTGGCTTATTTGTTTGATAGTTCTTGAACTACGCAACAAAAAAACCTTCCAGTATAGGTCCGCTCGGAATCACTTTCCCCAAGTTATTGTTCTCTTTGTTTATTTCTCAAACTCTGATTGTTAGCAGCAAGCTTAATTTAGTTAGTCGGTATTAACAACGCTTTCTCTGTTCAACAATTCATAATTTAGGTTAGGTGTAAGCTACCCTGACTCGCATTTTAGTCTAGTTTGGAAATCACCAAAGGGTTCAGGCAAATAAAATCTATGTCGATCCAGTACTGTATTCCTTGAATCATCTCTGATGCACGCAGCTTTAACTCTTTATGGAATTTCAACTGATAAACAATAATTTTCATATATGCAACATTCCCTTGCGCCTTTCCCGTCTTCTTCTATCAGACGTCCCTTCCAATTTCGAATCGTCTACCGAAGAATCGGCAATGCCCCGTGCCCCCCATCTTTACAGACCCATCAGCTAACCATTGACAAAAAGATCACTGTCTTTGAGCACCGCGAAGGGGACTGGAAGAAAACCAGGTTGAGACCAATTCGGCCCGTATCTACAGTCATCATGGACAAGCAAGTACAGGATGACCTTTTGGGGGACGTGAAGGGCTTTCTGGATGAAGATACTCAAAAGTGGTACGCCGACCGCGGTATTCCCTACCAGCGTGGCTACCTTTTCTATGGCCCTCCTGGAACCGGAAAATCAAGCTTCAGTCTCTCACTAGCAGGGGAGTTTGAACTGGATATTTATACGCTTCAATTGTCCGGTATTTCGGACAGCAAGCTGATGAAGCTATTTGCTGAGCTTCCACCCCACTGTATCGTTCTCCTAGAGGATGTCGACGCCGCTGGGATGGGGCGTAGGGACGATGCGGCCGCAGACCAAGAGAGCAATTCAGGCTCTGGAGTCACCTTATCGGGTCTTCTTAATGTCCTTGATGGCGTCTCATCTCAAGAAGGTCGGGTCCTTATTATGACAACCAATCACATCGAACATCTAGATGAAGCGCTCATTCGGCCCGGGCGCATAGACAAGAAAGTGCATTTTAATCTTGCGGATAGGAAAATTTCGGCTCAGCTTTTTCACACAGTCTTCAAGCAAACGCCCGACCACAATCAATCTAAGAAACATCTGGGCGACGACACGATTGAGAGGCTTGCTAAGGATTTTGCTTCCAAGGTGCCAGATGAGGTTTTCAGTCCAGCCGAAGTTTTGTCGTTCCTATTGGAGCAGAAGACCTCGCCTTTTGGCGCTGTTGCCGGTGTTGAAACCTGGATAGCAAAGGCAAACGAGGCAGCGAGCCAACTGAAGAGAGATGGTTCTTGGGTACAAGAAGGACGTTAAGAACGAGACTGAGGGCGAGCGCAACGGAGAGCAAAGATGCATTCTCCCAAACACAACACCCCGACGACATTTGGTTTGTGGACAGGCCTGGTCAAATCTGCCTCGCCAGTCAGGTGTTGGTTAAACGCTTGAGGCACTTCACATTTTTGAGGTTATTTCCCGGCCCTTTAGTTACTTTGATACTGTGTCAGTCTTGGTTTTTGACCCACCGCTCTTGTGCAACCGCTGTTTTTGTTTGATATAGTCTCACTCCTTAATTTTGAAGCATTTATCAACCTGCAACCTTTGTTGGCTAGTAGGCAATAGCTTGGAGTTTTCTCTGGCCAATGCTCGCGCTAAGAGAAGCTAGATCTCTAGAGGAGCTTGATGTTGACCATGGAGACCCCAATGCACTGGACAAGCAGCTCAAGCGCATATTGATGCAGTACTGAAGCGGATTCATTCATGGAGCGTCGTATTGCCTTCCATGGAGGTCACAATCGCCTTGTGACAGTCTTTTTGCGAAACATTGAATATTATGAAAGCATCCTATTCTTGATTACAGCCGTGAAACGGACTTGGTAAAACGTCTGGATTCTAGCGCAAATAGTGACCAGTTTGCATGGTCATCGGCAATTATCAGTCAATATAGAAAAGAAATTTCTTCTGTGGACAATGGAGGGACGGCGGAAGAAGCGGGCATTAAGAATGGGAAGATGCGTAGCCCGAAGTACTGGCTAGCTTATTTATTGCTTTATATACCTTTTCTGTTTAGTTCACAATGTATATCCGATAATTTCTCTATAGATTAGGGCGTAGAAAATGATCAAGTGGCAGTATAATACATGGGTTTTTGCACCTTTGTTCAGATTCTACCCAATCGAAACGCCCGCGTAGTAAAGACATTCTAGGTTGTCCTTTTCTTGCTCTCTGGTCGACTATCTCCCCCTCCAACAAGCACAAACCCTTCGATTAGAAAAGACATATCATGAACTAGGGGTATACAGTATGTCCAAAATTCCTTAGAGATGATACCAATTAAAAGTAGAAATGACACTGTATATAATTGCACTTGGATATTGTGGAAACCCTAATATAGCAAACCGAATATAACTTACGATATGTTTTATAGATCGATATAATATTGCACCGCCAGAGTCACGATTATATAAGAGCAAAGAAAATAACCACAGAAGTAAGGTAATATACACATTGGGTTCAATACCGTATCATACGTCGTTTCAAAGGCTTTCTGTAGCCAAGCGTTTAGATTTCAGCGTGTTAGACCGCTTTTTTTTTGGTTTGTGGGCACATTACCAATCCTCTAAAAAACCGCAGAACAAACGACTTTTGACTAGCTGATCCCAACACTCAATAAGACTGATATGAAATATCACCTGCTTTTGATCTCTACAAAAATCTACTATATACGCCTTAGTTGATCTAAAAAAAACCCGTTGTTCAAAGTAAAGTGATGATAGGAGGTTTAAACAGGCAAAAATGCAATTGATATAGGTCAAGAACGCAATAGTCATAGGCTTGTCCTAAAAGCTGCGATTTAATCATGGCCAGTACAGCGATTAGAGTCGCTATCCCAACTATCTCATTGATTTACACACCGTGCCACCCAACCAACGCAGTTAGTCAAATTTTGACCGGCTTTATAAACGTTTTGCACAGCCTCAACGTCAGGAATTGGCCTAAGCCTCCATATGATTTCAAAATATACACAAAATCCCGATGACACACAGCTCTCTACGAAGGGTGCCTCGTATAGTGTCAGAATATACCATGGCTCCTAGGCTTCGTAAAAATACCACCACCAATTCACTTAGTGTCAAGAACTCGTGGAAGGGTAAACAGGGGGTGCATAAACATGAATTTTCAACATCCCCGAGAATAGCTGAGCTCAGGGATTTCCTCTAATAAGGATGTTTATAATCACTGAACTGTCCACGAACGCGCACATGAACGTTCACCTGAGCCTAGAGTACGTTGGGACCGATGGGTTAACCGCGTTGAACTAACGGCGTGGATCTGACGGCGTTCCCCGAAGCTCGAGTGTGGTGAAAAATGCAAGCACTCTAGGGATTGGTGTATGAAAAGATCCAGGCTCCTGTGGTATGTACGTACGTTCGCTACTCCCACTGAGCCGTGGACCAAAACACAGGAGCTATGTTCGGAGAAAGTGGTTGAGAGAGAGCGGTGATGGGGGAGATTGGTGAATTAGGAGAGAGAGCTCAGCCGCTTTTTAGCACTGTAGACCCCACTGTATCGCCTGTACATAAAGGCCGTGACGAGACTCTAAGATTCAGTCAGAAAGTGGATCACTCTACATGTACATACTCGGATATATAGTCGTTCTATTCTAACCATTGCTACACTGGCACAAATGGAGACGGATGAGATATTTCGGCCCGCACGGGGCACCTGCGGTCTGAACACTGGCGATGTAGCCCTCGTTGACGGAGGGCTACAGCGCCGTGAGAGCTGCAGGCGGGCCCGTGGCACTCCGTATATTCTAGGAGGAAAACTAGCTATGCGGGAGCATACGTGGTATATACATGAGGGGGTACCGCGGTGGGCGGGAAGAAACCGTCGCGGAGAGATCCCGGCTCTCCCTCGAAACGGCGATGTTCTTTTCGAGGGAGGGGAAGGCCAGGCGATATTTGTGTGCGATGTCCGGCACGGGATATCGTGGGCCCGACGCAAGGGGCTCTCACGCAACAGTCCCGAATAGAACCTATCATGTATACTGCATATCGCTTTGCGAGGGGTCAGTGTAGATGAATTCTACTACTACTACTACTACTACTACTACTACTACTACCCTGTATCAGAAGGGCTCCAAGGTCATGTGGTCGCTACCGACGGTCTCCTCTCCCTGCAAATTCGATACTGCACGAGCACAACATTGGTAGCATGACGGAGTACATCATCCTCACTACCCCATCGGCATCCGTCTGCATTTTACACATGGCAAAGTTGTTCGAGCCATTCCGCGGTCTCGTTGACAGGAACCGCCAACGAGGGTTGTCCACCATGCCGTGCACCTGTTTCTAAGAAGAATGGGTCAAAATATATACATATTGAAACGATACACAGTGCCTGCCGGATTGACTCACCCGATTTTTAATATTCTAAATCACCCTTGTCTTGATTGAGATTCTGAGTGGGCATCATCTCTAGAGATGGGGCAGTCGACCTCCGCGCACCTACCGAGCGCGCAATTTCACTTTTTTGACTTCGCACTTGAAAAATATAGGCATTTTGCTGATTTGATACATTACGATAACAGTCAATGTCTGCGTCTGCCTAGACATGGGTGTACTTTCCTGTGATCCAAGGTTCCTGACAATATTACATAGTACTCTAGTGCATAGTCTGGGTCCAGGTGCATCATTGATCTAAAATGGATGGAATTGTTCAACAGGTCTATATAGTTCAAAATGAGTCTCAGCTAAACAGCCGAAGTTGATGAAGCCGATTCACTGGCACTACTACTAGTAGAAGTCTCCGTATCATCATCCCACAAGTACAACGGACCAGCACAGTAAGTCTTGCCCGTTTGCAACGTCTCCGAGCATCGAGAATCATCAAGTGACGGGTTGACGGCCACGAACAAAGCATGTGTGATACTTTCCTGGGCACAAATTCCAACACAGGTTTCATTGGCAGCAGCCTCATGCCATCTTCCACAATTGAGGGTTGTTCCCTCGGCCACAGTCGCGTTCGTCGGCGGGGCAGCCCAGGCCTCGCTATACCCATTTGATTTGCTGGGAGTAGTTGACCCTGTACCGGCCGTTCCACTGGAGTGCGCACCACCGGGTGCCGATAGACAAAGATTCATGCCGTAAATCTTGCTGGCAATTTGCAGATTGTCACAGTCGAAGGAGATCCAAGGGTTGTATTTGCGGAGATCCCCAGTTGAAAGCGAGTAAGAGTACTCGATTGTGGTGCAATTGTTTGTTGGCTCGAGGGAGTATGTGTCTTCGCAAGTCAAAGGAAGACAAAGCTTGAGCCCTGCTTTCATGGAGAAGCAATCCACAATTTTCTCCTGGTTACCCATGTAGAGTGACGCGGATGAGACCTTGTTTGCCGCTGCGATGGATGTGCAGTTGTCTCCTTCGACTGTTGTGTAGTAGTTCTCCGAGAGACAGAACTCGTCTTCCTCCTCGATGGTCCCCCAGGTAATTTCAAGGATGTCGGTAGGACCGGAGAGGCCGCATCGGCTATTCAGTTCTACTAGGACCTCTTGATAATAGTCGTCGTACATCGAGTAAGGCGTCTGTTGCATCATCTGGAGACGAGTTGTGTAGCAGTAAGAGCAAGCTTCGTTTTTAGGCATATCCGCGGTGCTTTGAACCAAAGTGAAATCACTGATAACGTCTTGTAGAGGAAGGAGTCAGTTGCATGTACCGTGAGAGGGAATTCTGTAACATACCATTGCAGTATTTGTCTGTGGCTTTATCTTTGCTGCAAGTTTCATTGTAACCGGCCCAGATACGGCCACCATACAGCTCTGGAGGAGAGCCGCTGATGTTATATCCGCCGCAGTTAGTTTGCACAGCCCCGAACCACTCACTCAGGCTCTCGCCGCAGCTAGTGTCGCAGACAAGGTCCGTCAGGGTGTCATTGTTCAACGAGCCATGCCATTTGCGAGACATCATGCTCTCAAGGTATGTTTCACACTTGATATTTGCTGTCAGTGAAGTTTTGCAAGTGTCCGGAAGATCAATCTTCTCCAGGCTGTCAGAACTGTAGATAGAAAAGCCGTCGAATTTACGCTGGCCAATAGTCGTATCCAAACCACCAATCCAGACGAGAATTGAAGAAAGAAGCCCGTTGACATTGTCCTTGGCGTATGTCGGCACACCTTGGAAGGGGGTGACCATTTCCACAATTGCCCTGGTACAGAGGTTGTAAATCCAAAGATCATGACTTTGCTCAATCTCGAACCCGCGTTGCTGGCAATCCTTTGTATCGAGACATTTTTGAGAATAATCTGAATACCAACTGTACAGACCGCTACCCAAAACCCAGATAGAAGTTGAATCTATGATACGCACAGCCCAAGAAAAGGCACATGCAGCAGAGCTTGAATCACAATTCTTGAATAATGGGTCATTGGGGAATGAGCCCGGTGTGAATGGACTAGGAGCCTGGGGAACAGGTTGGTAGTATGGTGACTCTGTTTGAATCATTCCCATGAGAATGTTGCTTGCACCAGAAAGCTGATACTGATAAAGTGTGCAATGCTCCGAGGCCGTGCCATATAGCCACGCGAGCTTACTCTCAATTAGAATACCACGGCCTGCAAAAACATCGATTTGATCTTGGGTAGTCACATCCATATCGTGATCTGCGACCCAAACCCAGATGTTCTCGAGATAGGCGTTGGACGAAGGTGTGAGATGAAGGAGAAGAGATGCCGCGACGCAAGCAGGTTTGACTTTGCCTGACTGATTAGGACATTCGGACTTCTGTAGTTTGGATCCAATGGCTCCGCCAATACGAATATGAGAGTCCCACATTGCAGCTGATCCTTGGACGGACTCGGCAACGTTCCACTGCACGAGAATTGCGCCAGCAGTGGGGCCCGAAACAGTGAAAAGCATGTCCTGAATCTCAACAATACCAACATCGTCCTCAACTCCCACCTGGACAGCCACATGCGGATTGTCAATATCCTCAAATTTTTTTCCTGTTGCCATGATTTGAGACCAAGCTTGTCCGATGATGCGGGAGCCGACGGGAACCTTCAGTGTATCCTGAATCATGTATACTCCGAAGGGGAAGTAGACAATCGAAGAAAGGTTGGCGGCGTAGGAGAGGACAGAGTTGAGTATAACGGTGTCATCAGTACTGCCATCACCCTTTGCGCCGAAAGTTTGAACATTGATAATATCACTTGCCTTAACATCCTCATATTGAGGTCGTCGGCGGGTAAAAAGATTAGACTTGACGTAAGCTTGGGTTCCAAGCAGCTTCTTGTTCATGGATCCGGTAGTGATGTCTGCACCAGACACAAAGGATCCTGTGCCTTCGGCGTTGGTGACCCTCCCGAATCCCCAGGCATCCTTGAGAACCTCATCACCACCTGCTAGAAGAACTTGGCCTTTGACGTCATCTGTGATGGCTGTTTTGACATTGAAAAAGCCGACGTTTTTCAAAAGCAGGGATGTCGAGTTTTCGGCATAGAGAGACGTGATGATACCATTTGGCGTGTTTGCAATGATGGCATCGGCCAAAACGAGAGAGCCAACACCTTGACCGGTGCCCTGGGCGCCGCCAGCCTAATTCCGGTAAGCTTCATGTTTGACCAAGATATGATGTTCGGAATACCAAAACATACCCCTCCGACGATGGTCAAACCATTTGTACAAGACTCAATGACATAGTCCTGCATAGTCCATGCCCAGTCCCAGTGAACCTGAAGGGCTGTATTACACTGGACAAAGACAAGCTGGCTTGAAGTGAATTGTTGGTTTCCAAAGTATGCACTGTAGTTCATCACGTTAGAAGACATCCAAAGAAGAGAAAACCAGAAGATTCTGGTATATTGCTTACCCAAAGTTGCCTCCCACAAAGGTGAGGTCTGCGAGGAAACCACCCGAGCCGTTCTCCATATAAATTCCCTGCTGTGTATTGCTCGGAACATCCGAGTTATACACCATGTAGAACTCGATGTTCTCCAGAGAGGTTCCCTGAGCAACCTGCCAGTGAATGGCACAAATATAGGCCGAGGTGTCCGTTTGACGAATGTCGATCTTGAAATTCCTCACACTGCGCAGGAAATTGTTTTGATTGACATACCACTGCTCGTCATCACTGACATAGACATCGGAAGTGATGACACCCAGACCGACGAAGCTCGAGGCTGCCAGGATAGTTGGCACATTGATCGGCTTTCAGTAAGTTAGTGAGAGCTTTCGTATGACCCCAGTACTAGAATGTAACACTCACGTCTCCCAGGAACTCCGTATTATAGTATTGAATCAACGGAGAGCTGACAAGGTAGGTGCCTTTGGGGAACCAAACTGTAGCAGGATAGATGGTGCTGGAGCCGCAGTCAGGGCCACATCTTCCTCCCTCGGAGATAGCACGGTTGATGGCCGCTGTGTCGTCTGTGACTCCGTCACCAACAGCGCCATAGTCTTTGACATTTCTCCAAACCTAGAGAATATTGATCAGGGGCAGTTCTTAGTTTAGAAAAGCAAGGGAGAGATGAAAGAGGGACACGGGTCACGCCAGATTAGCACTGCATGATCGACGAGCGAAACGAAGTGAAAGTGTAGAAAGGGGGGATGGTGCTGAATGGAAAATCTACCTTGTAGCCGCTGGGTGCGAATGGACTTTGACCTGTCTGGTCCACTGTGGCCATCCAGTACTCGGAAGCATCATCACGCTTGTTGAGCGTCGCTTTGGCAGTCTTGTTGTCACTTATGTCACCAGTCTCATCACCACTTTCAAATGCACTGTAGCCATAGAGTCCATTTGGTCTAACCAGGGCCTGGGCGGGTGTATTGGAGTGTCTGCGGCCTTTGCCGTACTTCTCTCGAATATTAGCTGCAACCTGAGGCTGATCACCGGTCGGTTTGTTGACGGTGGATTCAGCGACAATGCGAGCAGCCTTAGCCAGCTCAGGTGGAATCACGTAAGGACTGTTTCCGCTCGTTTTATTCGATGAAGAGTCTCTTGTTTGAAGATGGGCAGTCTTCACAGACTCGGGGCTGTAGTCCAAAGGCTTAGCAGTTGCCCTTGCGCCCTTGCGGGATTCAGAAAAGGTATCTTTGTTGAAATTGGGATTCTCCGTTCGATCTTTGTTGACTTCTTTCAAGACCGCAAGTGCATTTTGTACCATTTCGAGCGCATTGCCATGACCGGTTGCGCTCGCATTGCCACGCTTATGATGGAGATGACTATGATGAAGATGATTGTGATGGATTTGAGCATGATCAGCCCACACTGGAACCCAGAAGATCGTCAGGGCAAGTACTGCGATCAGCGGCAACAAGCCTTGATCGGCAAACCGTGATCTGCCACCCAGTCTCATCTTCAGTCAACCCTCGTGGCATAGATGAAAGACCTCCCAAGTCTAGGGGAATACTTAACCATAAATCCGTCTGGCCTCGGCCGGAGCTCGCGACCCAATTCCATCCACACTACTTGATGCAACCCGACATTTCTTCCATCAAATTTCGTTAAGCGATGGGCCGGAAGTTCCCCTTGATGCCAAGAGACTCTATACTCACGGTCTCCTTCACGTTGAACCAACCAGGGGATCGCATAACACCCATTTCTGGATACTGGCATGCGCTACCTGGCTTGGCCATATTGATGTCTCAGCCTGTTCCCGAAGCTACTGCACGCTCCAACTAAGAAGCGAAATGAGCCTCCACAGGGGGCCGGATACAATGTATTGTGCTAGTCGAAGCTAGCGTGTGACAATACCATTATCCACCGGGGGCTACCAGTCACAGCGGTGCAGAGACAGACACAAGAGATCTTGATTGTGAGCTTCATACTTGCAGCACATGAGGCTAATGCTGTTTTGTCTATCTTGGCCAAGTTCAAGCAAGCTTTTGCGATTCCTATCAACCGCGATATAGTACTGGCATCGGTCGCGGACCAGCCGGCAAGGGTAAACGCCAAGGATGCCAAGGATGCCAAGAGGCCAACCAAGCCCTATCGCGAACTGCGCCAAGAATACTACTCTACTCCGTACTACAGCAGCCTCTATGGGGCCTCACTATAGTTCCTCGTTGTTTTGACGCTTGAGATATGTCCGCAAGTTGAATTTTTCACAGCTACGGAGTACATACTTCGAACTATGAAGCACCGGATCAAAATTGAGGAAATTAATCCCTCACGCTAACACGGAGGAGAGCCTAGGCTACACCCAGTAGTAACTGAGTACGGAGTACCGGATGATAGAAGTAATTTTAGTAGAAGTAGTAGAAAACGAGATCGCACCCTGCGAGAAAGATTTGTGAAGCACAATGGGGGCCTTCCATTTCAATCGGAGCCTTCTCTGGCTTTTTGGCCTAACTTGTCTCTTCTTGTTGTGCCAGAATGCCAAAGCCAAAGGCTGCAGTGCCCTCGCCCCTTGTGCCACTGGCTGCTGTAACAAATTCGGTTACTGCGGAATAACCGACGACTTCTGCGGTGCCGACTGTGTCGCTAGCTGCGATTTTGAACCAGAGTGCTCTGTCTCAAAACCCTGTGCTCAGGGATGTTGCAATAAATTTGGGTTCTGCGGTTTAGGACCTGACTGTAAGATCTGATCTTGCCCAATCTTTGAACTTGTGTGTCTGATACCTCATTCTAGTCTGCGGAGATGACTGTGTTGGGACCTGTGAGAGAAAGTCCGAGTGCGATCCCGGAAAATACGGCGATTATGCCGAGTCTAAGAAATGTCCCTTGAATGTCTGCTGCTCCAAGTTTGGTTTCTGTGGAACTACCAAGGACTTTTGCGGCAACAAGAAAGTCAAGCGTCCCTCATGCCCTAACCAGGACAGCTTGAATCGAGTTGTTGGGTACTACGAAGGCTGGAGCGTTCAACGCCCATGCAATGTCTTCTATCCTGACCAGATCCCGGTTGGAGTCTACACTCATCTCAACTATGCCTTTGCTTCAGTTGACCCCGAAACGTTCGACGTCCTGGCTCCTAGCGAGTACGAGAAAAAGCTCATGAAGAGACTGACTGATCTCAAAAAAGCCGACCCTGATCTCAAAGTCTTCATTGCCATTGGAGGATGGACTTTCAATGATCCTGGTCCAACTCGAACGGTCTTCTCTGATATTGCGCGCTCAGAAGCAAACCAGAGGAAGTTCATTGCCTCTTTGAAGACATTCTTGACTGATTACAACTTTGATGGCGTTGATCTCGATTGGGAATATCCAACTGCAGATGATCGTGGTGGGCGTCAAGAGGACTTCAAAAACCTCCCCAAATTCCTCGCCAACCTTAAGAATACTCTCAAAGAAACAGCTGGCCGTGATGGGGTTAGCATAACCCTTCCTGCTTCGTACTGGTATCTGCAACACTTTGATCTCGAAAACTTGCACAAACATGTCGACTTTTTCAACATCATGTCCTACGATCTTCACGGGAAATGGGATTTGGGAAACCAATGGCTTGATCCTGTTCTCAACTCTCACACCAATCTGACCGAGATCAAAAATGCCATGGATCTCATCTGGCGTAACGACGTCCCCTCCGACAAGGTGGTTCTTGGATTGGCATTCTACGCTCGTGTCTTCTCTGCTTCGGACCCTGCCTGCATGGAACCTGGATGTCCCTTCGTTTCGGGCGGTAATCCAGGTCCCTGCAGTGATGAAGTTAGTATCCTACTCAACTCCGAAGTCAAGGATATCATGAGCGAGAAAAAGCTCACATCAAAACTCGACAAAGACGCTGCCGTCAAGATACTGAAGTTCGACACGAATCAGTGGCTCACATATGACGACGAAGAAACCCTCGAAATGAAGACCGATTTTGCCAAGTCCCAGTGTCTTGGTGGTGTCATGGTTTGGGCAGTTTCTCATGATCATCCATCTGGCAACTTCTCTACTGCGTTGGCTAAAAAGACCGGCCGAAAGGGCACCTCACTAGCCTTTGACAAGACGAAAGATTCAATGGAAATCCAGAAGACCCATCTCCAATGTCGATGGACCAACTGCTTCGAGGGTTGTCCCAGTGGATGGACAAGTGTTGCTCGCACTGACAAAGGTGCTCGCGGGGACGAGAGAATGTGGGATAACACCGGATGTGGTGGTGATGCACAGCATACCTTCTGCTGTCCACCAGACTCTGAGCAGCCCAAGTGCGGTTGGTATACGCACAACAATGGCCACTGCAAATCACAATGCCCGTCCGGGTATGTGGAAGTTGGATCGAATTTCCAGCATTGCAGCAACAACGACAACGACTACCAGGCTGCATGCTGTACAACAGACACAAACAGCATGAAGCTTTACTCTCAATGTGACTGGGCTGGCGGTGCGCCAAATTGTGACGACGGAGAGTGCCCAAGCAGCATGAAATATTTCCTAAATTCAACCACTGGCAGTGGTGGAAACTACTGCAACCCGAAAAGCGTCAAATATACCTGGAACGGTAATGAAGGTACTTCCTGGGAGACGCGAAAGTACTGCTGCGATGACGACGACAAGACCAAATGGGACGACTGCGAATGGAGAGACGACATTGGTCTCGCACTTGCTGATGGTACTGTCAAAGATTACTGCTTCAGCGGCTGTCCCGATGACAAAGTCCGCATCGCCATGGATCAACACCGAGACGGCTGCAAAGGCGACGGTGGAAAATCCATGTGCTGCAGCGCGAACTATGTCACGAAGAAGAAGCGATCCTACACTGATTCTGAAAGCCGACTTGAGTCTGAAGTGAAAGCATTCATGAAAAACCCAGACTGCGGTAGCGATGCCTACAACTTCAAGCGCGATCTGGAAGGCATGGACTTTGTGGGCCTCTTCTCAGAGGAATACAACCACACATCGGTTTTACATCGTCGGTTTGATACCAAGCCGTATGATGCTATGCGCGGCCTGATGCTCGATATCGGCTTCACGTTTGTGGCAGGCCAAGCAGCCATCGAAATTTGGAACAAAAACGTTGCTTCTGTCTACAAGAATTTTGCGGTCACTAAACTCCAGTCATGGCTGAAGAAGAATTCTGAATGGAAGGAAGATGGAATGGTCGATTATTCCGCCTTGATGATCTGCAACATGGGCATATTCGACGACAAGATTGGAGGTGAAGACAGTGAGCTCAGCTGCGAATACCCATATCCAACCAGCTGTCCAGACGGAGAAGCCGAATGTGATGATGAGGATTCAGACGTCGATGATGAGGGAGGAAACCTCGAGGCACGGAGTTTGGAAAAGAGAGCGGGTCCCCGGCCCTCCACATTAAAATTCCGCGATGGGGGTTCCCTTTTCTGGCAATCTTTCGGGGTATGTTAAGAGACTCCCCTCCGATTTGACTCCAGACTAATTCATGGAAATCACAGTATAGAAGCAGTGGTGAATATCCTATAGGCCACCGCATTTGGGACCATGCATATGGATTACGAAACGCGGATGATTGTCTGGATACGACCCTTGGGAGTCAAAGGATCACCACTGAGGCGGGCAGACGACCCTATTCAGGTAATATTCTCCTTTGTGGCTTTGAATGTGGCTTTGTTCTCTTCAGCTTTTTGACATCTCTCATTTCTTTGTTATGTTGTCGTGATTTGACTGACCAAATGCAGTGGAACATTACATTGAACTGAACACGATTCTCGGGTTCCTCAGCAACGGTTACGAAGGAGCCTTGTCAACCGGGGGACGACCCAGGAACCCTGCCCTACCTCGTCCATTCCTGGAAGCACTCAACACTCCCATGCTGCGCATTGCACCTCCAATGATAGGTGGGGGGCATCGTCAACTCCGCTTGTAAGAGTCATGAATGCTCTTGGAAGCAGATCAAATGACCAGCATTTCATGGTTCTCATTCAGGGCCTAAATTCGCTGAAAAGTCGGGTAAGACCTCGAGACCCCGTATCTTGGCTCAATCTTGGGGGCTTCTCTTACTGATTCATTTTCTAGATGTGGCGTGATGAAACAAGATTCAGAAACATGAACACTATGATGCAGGCCGATAATCCGAACGAAGCCCTACGAAGCATCAGATCTGTCATCACTGTCATGAATTATCTGAATGATCCTCGAGTACGTCCTCATATGGTTGACACTTCAAATGAAGTCCGCAGGGAGTGGGGCCTAGTAGACCAGCAGTTGAACGCCGATGGAAATGAGGCTGTCTATGCCCAGGATTGGTGGGATCAATGGTTCCGAGACCGGCTTCAGCATATTGGAATAACGAATACCAATTGGGCCCTTGGCCGGATAGCCGACATGAGACGACTGTGGGCAGTGAGGACGGGATCCAATGTTACACCTACTATCGAGACCCTGGACAAGTTGAAAGCGGATGCCACGGATATGAAGATTGACATGGATGATCTAGATTGAAACTGAATAACCGTGTGAATTGATAGATACATGTATATAGTTCATACAAGATGTCTATTAAACCGTGTTTCAATGGTCTACGGCAATGGGCCTCGATGACACAGCAATCCATGCTGCTATAGAGGACGTAGAGGATGGATGACGATAGTGACTTTTTTTGACATTGCGTCGACCGTGTCTTGGATGGTTGATTGACCGGGCGGTTCAATGCAATAAACATTTCGGTCGCAGAGCCGACAATATGCAGCTATTGAATCTTGAGTGTAGTTACTGCAGTATTCAAGTCCCACATGACATGAAAAATTCACAAAACATCAGTACCGTCGGGTCTCATCGAATAACTGTCCTTCATATAAGCCGTGTCCTGCATATCCGACCACACCTCGAACAACGAGGACAGGGAACACTTCATCCACCCTGGAAAATCCTCATATGGATCTACCTCCAACGCCTCGATGAGTTTCACATAATGACGTCTCTCCTCTTCGTATTTCGAGTTCTCTGGAAGGGGTGCGTTTTGTAACGTTTGAAAACTTTCTTCGTCAATGACAATAAACATGCGATACCCAGGAAATACATCGAGCACACCACGCTCAATTGCGTCGGCCCTGAAATGCTCGCGGAGCTGGTCGATCGATGCTCCGTCGAACTGGGAAGCATCTTCAATGACCCGTGGCTGGTAATTGGGCCACATTTCATCCCAGGGAGTGATGTTGAACTCATTTGCATTGGATCTTTCGCGAAGGGAAGATTCGTATTCCCCGTAGAATCCGTTCTTCATGTACTTCGTGGTGAGGTCGACCATACGCGGGAAAGCGGCATTGGATTGGGGAGTGTAGGTCGTCCGGTAGATTGTGTAGCCCCAGGTGGGCTCAGAGTAATGGAGCCAGTCATAGATGTTACGAATGGACCATGGAAGCCAAGGGTATTGCTTCATCGGCTTTCGAAGTAGCGACATGATGGGTCGACTTAGGATGTTGCGGTGGTTCAGAGGTGAGTTGAGGACGGAAAAAAGCCCAGCCTCATTGGAACCTTGGAAGGACCGCTTTATAGTCCTCAGGGCTGAGAGCAGGTTTATATCAAACTTTCCGTCCCCCTTACAATACCCTACTAGTACTGGACCCTGGTCAATCTAGTGTCTCCAACATAAATTACCGTTAGTTCCTTGGCATCATTCCCACATTATCTTGGCATGTTCGCATCTGAACTAGGGCCGTGGACAGAGTACGGAACACGGAATAGAGAGTAGAGTCAATGTTACTGTTTCTCCATGGGGCACTTTCAAGGTTGTATCAATCGAGAACCTCGCCAGTATCAGAAAAACATGCATAATAGGCAATCTCCAAATCTTCAGTCGGCCTTGTTGCTACATATCTCATTGCCGAGAGCCATCCACCCCTCTAGCCGACTTCTTCGACCCAAATTCGAGACTCAGGTATGTCAGTCTGAATAGGTGGAAGCTCCGATGTGTTTTCTTCATGATATACCCCGAAAATAATCATGAGGTATGGCGGTATACTCGACTAGATGCTGGAATTTGGCGGTGTTGACATTAAAACCGCCCCCGCAATGGTAATTTTACGCGTTCAGAGTGCGCAGAGAGTCATAGAGTGCTGGAAAATGCGCAGAATCAAATTGAGCAGAGAGAACAAATGTACATCGACCGTGTATATCTCCGTTAAAAAAAGAGGGAGCCGTCAAGTAGAAGAGAGAAGGGTTGGAGGGGATGAAATGCGGCGCGTCACGTCGCGCATCACGAAGAAAAGATCACCTCCCCCCAAATCCCCTTTAGCCCTTTTCGACCCACCTCAATGCATCGCTTTCTTTGCCTTTGCCTTTCTTTAGACAATGGCTCCTTTTGATTTACCTCAGTTCCCCCAGTAGACTACCTAAAGATGGCCTTATGACTTGATGCGCTGGCTGGGCTGTTGTGCCGATAATAATGTGTGGAGAGCTTTGAGGACTAGTACCGGGATCGATGTTCGTCTTGCTTGAATTGGGATGTTGTGTGGCGAAGAAGATTGCCATGCTACTAGATATGAAAACGGAGCAGCAAGTCCAAAACCACTAGACTCAATCAGGTGTCAAGAGTTGAATATACCCCGTTAGAAGAGTCAATCAAAAAAATAAACTAGATGCAAAAACTCACCAACGAGAGGGGAGGGAAAGTAATCCGGACAATCACGTGACTGCGCGTCACACACTGACGCGCCTCAATCGAACTTTGAGAACAACAAGACATGAACAGCTCAACGTGGCACTATGTCTTACTATGATATCGACTCAATATTAACAGACGCACAAGTATGTCAACAATGACAGCAAGGATTTAGCCCCAGAATAAACACAGGCTTACAGAATCCAGAAACTGCCCTGTACCTTCGAGCTCGAGGTACCGGGACTAGGAATCCTCGAAGGCAATCCGGGCGAAGATGTCTGTATCCTACCTCCTTACTGTGCCATTCAAATAACTAACCAGGATCCAGATCAAAGCTGGAACCCGGATCGACCTGCCACTATGGCTTGGTGAAATGCTTTCGATCGGGTAAGGCCCCTACCAACCTCATTCTCGACTCTCTACGTGGGAATCCGACCATGTCTAATTTCAATTGATATAGAGCACGACTGGGTACCTCCCGTCTAGTCACACTCGATATGCTAGATGCACTTTCAGAGCGGGTGATGAATGCACTGAAGGCAGACCCCCGCACAATCGATCTGCGCGCTTTGGCACCCCATTTTTACAATCTCAGCGAACGTATTCTCGAACTATTCGAAGAAGAAGAGATAGTTGATGTTCTTGGTGATGTAAGTGACGTGTGATTTTCTATACTTTGCATATGATACATGTGAAGAAGGTTCTCGACTGGGCGGGAACTAACTATACGCTAGACATTCAAGAAACGAGCGGCGGAGATTGCAGACCACGCACATAATTCGCGTGGTGCGGTTGGTGACGGAGTTGATTTCTTGCGTGGGTTGGATGAGACTGAGCGACAGTGTAAGTTGTCGCTTCTTTGACTTTGGGTGTGTAAGACATTACTGATCGGCTGGAGAGTGTTCCGGGCTGCTTATGATCGAGCAAAAGATATGCGAATTTGGTCCGGAGAAGCGAAGCGGAAATGAGAGGGTTTGTGATAGAGCGTTTTCTTTTCTCATGGACTGAGCTGTGCTCGTCCGTGGATATTTTGATAGATACAATTCGATTTAACTTTATTTCATTTGATTCTTTACGCTGATAGGCTGGTGTCGGATATTAGTGGGTTTCATAGTACGTGCTTCGTCTACCTACTCACAGCGTGGCCACATGGAGTGATAGGGTGTGTGTAGCTAATTGGAATACGAGAGCAATATATGAGACTTTGTGCGAAAGTCCCAGAGAGCAAAAGTCTGCTTTGTCTGAATTTGTGACGTGGAAATGGGCAAAATTGACAGATGAAACCCGACTATACGACAGGTCCGAAAGCCTGGGAAGGGTGGAGACCCTACGCGAGCCGCGACCTGGGATTTCCATGGGAGATCGCCTGGGAACTACATACTTCTCTCAGTCAATAGACGTTCGACGTCCCCGAAAGACTCAAATGTGGCTACCTAATGAAAGGGACCCCTCATCCCAGGGATCCGTCAGAATAGATGAGTGAGGTCGCTTTTGGTTTGCAGGGGTTGAATTGCTCGTTTCACAGCTGAGAAAAGTATTGGCTTCTTACATTGCCACTCCGAGACCAAACGCCCAGAGCAAGGGAAAGCTGAGACGGGTTTGCCCCACGGGCAGTATCCGATTGGCGACTATGATGTCAGGAACGCACTTAGCGTACTTAGCGTATGCAAAGGGATCGCCAGCTTAATGAATCTGCCGTGCTCGACGAATCACTGGAAACAACCGACAGCATACAAGTCCAGGTCGGACCTATGGAGCGATGGTCGGTTCATGTCGCCGAGCTGATTGGGATCCTGTACGCCATCAACATCATCAACAAGATTGCGCTCCGACACTGGAGAACATCCCACACGCGGGTGAGATCTGCCACAATCCTCAGTGACAGCAAGTCGGCCCTACAAGCAGTTCAAAACCCCGGGAACAAGTCGGGACAACAGATCATCCATGCCATTCTACAAGCAGCCAGGAACACCAAGTCTCACGGCACATCGATTCGACTACAGTGGATACCCGGACATTGCGAAATACCCGGGAACGACACTGCCGATTTACTAGCCAAAGAGGCAGCGATACCAGGGAAAACACACCTGTTCTGCTTTTTGCTGTCACGCGAGAGAGCACACATCAAGCAAGGGATCTACGCCCAATGGAAGAAAGAATGGAACGAGTCGGGGACCGGCGCCCATCTGCGTCAGATCGACCACACATTGCCAGCCAAGCACACGAGACGGCTCTACGGCTCCCTGCCTAGAAACCGAGCGTACTTGCTAACGCAGCTGCGAACCGGACACTGCTGGTTGTCAACATACGCCAAGGCTTTCCGATTCCAAGACGACGATCTATGCGTCTATGGCGAACGGGAAAGTGTTCACCACGTGTTGTTAGATTGTCCAAGACTGGGAATATTAAGGAGAGAGCTCCGAGGAAAGGTTGGCGACGCGTTCAACAGCATCTCGACTCTGTTGGGGGGACCAGGGGAAGAAGGAAGAGGTAAGATTGACAACACTTCACGGACCAAGACAGTGGAAGCTGTCTTGGACTTCGCTGAAGCATCGCAACGGTTTCAAAGCCGCGCGCCATGAGGGCAGCATGAATATAACGACGGCACAGAGGCCACGGCAGGCCTCGGCGAGGCTCAAAGTTCGCTTAGGAAGTGGTACACGGTCTATGTACATAGGAAGATATATATAGTAGTGGTAGGCTGCATATCGTTCGCGAAGTTGAACCCTAGATTGAGGTACAAGTGTGATAATTCATCTATATGAAGAGATCCAGCTATTTGTAGTTACAGCAGCTCATCTCCCTGCTGCCTAGCGGAGTGTCTGCCTAATAGGCAGCCACTCCTATAGATCTATATACATCACGTGACCTGGGATCCAACTCTCCCCCTGTGCCAAGGACCCGAAGGGGCCGAGGCACCTGAATGATCCCAGGGTCTGATCCGACGATTTCTTTCCCTTTTTCCAACAGAGGTTCAGACTCGATAACTCCCCCTGAATTGAGATTCAGACGCCTTACAAGGTCCTCGTGTGTAGACCTCGGTAAAGCTTTGGTAAAAACATCTGCCAAGTTGTCCTTTGTATTGACGCGCTGAGTATCAATAAGACCTTCCTCCACCTTTTCCCGAATAAAGTTATGCTTGACGTCAATGTGTTTGGCTCTGCTGTGGAACTCTGGATTCCTGGTGAGCTTCAAGGCTGCGTTATTGTCGATATAAAGGGGAACTGTGTCAATATGTACTCCCGGGATGCGGAGGTCATTGATAAAGTTGCGAATCCACATAGCTTCCTTCGCAGCCTCGGCGCATGCAATGTACTCCGCGTCCATGGTTGATGTAGCCACTGTTTTTTGTCTCCGGGATGACCACGATATGGGCCCTCCGGCAAGCGTGAACACCCATCCAGTTGTTGACTTGCGCGAGTCCTCGCATCCGGCAAAGTCGCTGTCGACAAAACCCCTCAGCTGAAGGCCATGTTTGTCTGAATAGACAATTCCTTTCCTTGCGTCGCTCTTCAGATATGCAAAAATGCGATCCACGGCATCCATGTGAGCCCGGTTTGGGTTAGATGCGTATCGAGCTACATACCCGGTCGCAAAGGCAATGTCCGGTCTTGTCTGATTGCTGCTAAAATTGAGCGATCCGACCTTCGACTGATATTCTTTGCGGAATTTGGTGTTGGCGACGTAGTCGCCCTGTTTCGCGAGCTTGGTTTTTCCGTCAAGGGGAGTTTTGGCCGGGGCCGCATCTTTGAAGCCATATTTGTTGACCATTTGGTCGATATATTGTTTCTGATGGAGATTGATCTCTCCTGGCTTCTGCTCTATGTGCATTCCTAAATACCAGGAGCACTCCCCCTCGTCGGATATCGGAAATTCCTTCGAAAATTGACCCTTGAAATCAAGGATTTCCTGAAGGCTTCTACCTATCACGTTTATGTCGTCCACGTGAACTTCGAGGATGAGCCCTGTTCCGTCATTGATGAAAACACATGGATCGTAGGCAGAGATTCGCCAACCCCAGCGGACAAGAGTATCCCGGAGCTTCCGATACCACGCTCGAGGTGACTGCTTCAAACCATAAAGGGCCTTCAGGAGCAGTAAACAACATCCACGAGGTAATTGCACATCTCTCGGAGCTTTCATGTAGACGGGTTTGTCCAAGGCACTGTTCAGGAACGCCGTTTTGACATCTCCCTGGTGAATGTGCCAATGACAAAGCGCGGCCAACGCGAGCAAGATGCGGGTGGAAGTCGATTTGACCACAGACGCAAACGTTTCCTCATAGTCAATGCCCTCTTCTTGTTGAAAACCTCTTGTCACTAGACGAGCTTTACGCCTAGTGACTTCGCCACCTGGTCCATATTTGTCCGTAGTGACCCACCGTGAGGTAACCGGTTTGATGCTATCCCGAAGAGGAACGACCTTCTATGTGCCTTTTTCTTTGTGCGATTTCAACTCTTCCATCTTAGCCTGGTGGTACTTTGTGCTCCCAGTACCATCCGTTTTCAGTTGTAGAGGTGGTGGAACGTGTTCAGAGTATACAGATAGACCAAATTTGAAGGCTTTGTGGCTATCCCTGACCGCCCCGCGTCGATTGTAATTCTCAATATCATGCGAGTTGGATTCGATCGTCTCTCCCACTGATCCCGGCTCGTGGGAAGCTTGAAGCTTCCTCCGACCAGCGTAGATCTGGTAATTTTCCCGAAGATTCGGCTCGGTCAGGCCTTTCACCTCGAATGGTCGAATCGCCCAAGACTCGTACGTTCCATCAGATCTCCGATAATTGCAATTGGCGACGTGACTGTTATCTTGCGACTTGATGCATGGGTAACAAGGTTGTTCCCCGTCACAATTCAATTTCATTCTTCGGCAGCGTACGCATTCCTCATCAGACGGATCTCCTTCCTCAAGAGGTCCCACTGAGGAGAATCCTATTGGAAGTGGAGAATCAGGAGGGCGATAGATTCTAGTTAGCAAACCATGCTGGGCTTTGTAGCTGCATGTTGACTTTCCGTGGATGCATGCCTTGCAAGGTCGTCCGCGGTCATATTTCTTTCCACTCCTACTTCCATGTCTGCACTGATCACAAGGAGGTAAATCATCCACACCCTGTGGCCGACATGCTAAGCGTTGAAGAAGGGTGTTGCACTTGTTGCACGGAATCTTCCCATCGCATGTCATTATCTTTGCTGCGCACCGGTAGCATTTCTGATCGCGAGGCACTGGTACAAATCCGAGCTTTTTATGCCTTTCCTCCTTTTCCGCCTGTTTTCTCGTCTGCTGTGCTGTTGACTTTTTGGCCCCATCCAGGTTCCTGTTGCAATTGAGTTTGGCTTTTTGACATGCTTCGCATTTTGGATTGCTTGGGTCAATGAGGAAACAAGTACGGTTTGTCTGGAAGCATCTTCTGCATGGCTGGTCCTATTGTACTCTTCCAATCTCTTTACGCCTGTGGCGGTTCTCAGGAAGTATCAGGCGTTTTGTTTCTTTCGACTGGAACCTGCAGCCTTGGTTGTCTCTTCTGCAGATCGAACAAGGCATTCCATTCTCCGCAGAGTCGCACTTCCGACCGTTCCGGAAACAACGGTCACATTTATCTTCATTAGGTAGGAAATTTTTCATATGGTTACCGCCATGTTTTGCGACAAATTGCCAGTATGCCTGTGAGATCTTGCCATCTTCTGAGTAGTACCAAGAATCGTCGTTCAAGCCCGACAAATCTGAGTCCGAGTGCTCTAAATTGATGTCACGTTGTCTGTGGGTAGCTCGGCGGCTTTTCCTTGGCGCTACTATAGGGTCATCAGGAAACTTGCGTTTGGCCATGCCGGCGTGCTTGGGTTGATTGAAATATTTGGACACATTTTTAAGTCCCAAGTCTCCGTTGTCGGTCTCGTCTTCATCATCGGCGTCTTCGACTTCATCTTGTGACTCGTGTGCCGCTTCCGATGCGGATGGATGACATGCTGTGAAAGTTTCGTTACCATGCATTATGTAATCGACTGATTTTGGTAAACGCACCAAATCCTCTGGGGTGATAGGATGTTTCAAATCATCTCGACTCCAACGATGGAGCATATCCCATATTGCGCGACGTTCTTCAGAAGACATTCTAGCAAGCCGACTGTATTCCTTGCTAATGCAATTCATATGTCAATCACTCGTCCATCGTAAGGAGAAAGACATATTGGAAGCTTCCCGCCTTCACGTATTTTCATGATACCATCCTTGTCTTTCGTGGGTGAGACCATCATGGACCATTATAGATACATCTGCTCCGTCATCAAGTGAAGCTTTGGTTGCTGCCATGTACTCGAGCTTGACTGCATAATGTAGGCGGGTTTGGTCCTGGTCATATCAAATTATAGTAGTGTCCTCCCTGGCCGACCAAGTAGATACGATGCGCAAAGGGTTCCAGCGCCAGTCCCACAATGAACACTCAAGTGGCAGCCCCAAAACAGAAGAACACATTTCCCCCCCCCCCTTGCTCTGACGGTGCAGACATCAACCAGATCAACTAACGCAGTGGTCCGTGGGTCAGTGGACCTTCATGTACACACAGCAGTCGATCTGGACAGGAAGCTTTGCCTGTTTTCCCCGTCCCAACGCGATGACCACGCCGCGTGTTACCGGATATTGGTTCGAGAGTTCGAGGACGCTTCAGCCACCTCACGTCCTCTAAGTCGATGACAACAAAACGGCCACCTAGGTCATCCCATAACATATTGCGCCACTCGCCGTCGCTGTGGACAACTCCGTGCGATCGGAGCACGGCCAGAGCTTTGTCGCGTTCCTGGTGCAAGAAGCTAGAATTCTCATTGTTGATGACATACTAAAGTCGCGTTCTAGACTAGCTCAGGATCATCATCTGGGCCATTAATTTACCATGGTACCAATACGCGACGCGTGGCTGAAAGTCTCCAAGACAGACGGGGATCTGATGTCCTTGCAAGCTCCTAAGGTGACGATAATTGTTCAACTCCGCTTGAAGGCGATGCTGCTTCCCCACTGTGGTAGCTTTAATGACCACAGTGTATCCATGTGATAGAAGGGTAGCTTTCACGAGGTAGCCTGTCCGACCACAGACGTGTAGTTGTTCGAACCCAAGATCTCGATCTCGGGCAAGTTGACGGTGAAGCTGGCGTGTGAACTCCTGCGGCCCTATGGGGTGTCTCTGACCACCGTGGAATTTCCAGTTGGGGCATTCTTTATCCAGAGGGTCTCGGTTGACCATGCCGCGGATGTACGCAATCGTGCAGTAGGGTCGTGTAGATTGCCCGTCTTTTCGAGAAGTCTGTTTTTTGTCCTGTCCTGCTCGTGTCCTCTCGCTTCCTCCAGTCGACTGAAGTTTGCCTTGGCTGCGACTCGACCGGCTGCGCGCCGCTACTGCGGTGGATGGCGAATGCGATTCTTCATCACTGCCGCTCCCTTCAGTCGACAAGTGCTTCGGAGTAGATATGCCTGGTTGACAACGAGCGCGAGAGCGTGTGTTGTGCATTTTCGGATCTCGTTTCCAGTGCGAGGGCCGATAATTAGAGGCTGGCGGGTCTTTACGGAGAGTTTCGGGAATTTCTCTCAACACGTCCAGATATTCAACCTCCTAGGTCGTTAGCTTGTCTTGTGCCGTATCATGCCACTCTTGAGACGGAGCTTCCGCGGCCAGCGCTTGAAGGGTGAACGCAAGCACCTGACCGATGGCGGTCCGGTGGAGGCGCCATTCATCGTCCGCCTGCACGTCTTGATTCGGGATACACAAGAAATATTGAACAACTGTGGGATCATCCTTTGGGATATGGAGGAAAACAAAAGCCTCCCCAGTGCAGATGTAGCCGTATCGAACTCCACTATCGATCATGTATGAGAATATCTGAGTGCCCACGGCGGCGACGAGGCGGGTAGCATAAAATTCAAACGTGTCGCCTTCCTGATCAATAACATCGCGAGCCAGTTCCATCTGGTGTAGACCCGCCACCAATTCGGGGATTGTCACCTTGTGCGGCGCTTTGAACTCCACTATATACACCGGTTTTTGTCGCTCGTTGGCCACAGTGTGCACGCAGAACTGGTCGGCGCGGCGATTGCGTCTTCGTGCAGCGCCCGCCCTCTTCTGTCTCTGTGCCGCTCCTCCCCGCCTTCCTCTGCCTCCCCCATGCCTAGTGTTCGCTAGTCGTTAGGGCGTCCGCGCGTCCTAAAGATTCATTTGCTCTAAGCTGTTCTCTAGCGAAGTTTCCGATAGGTTCGCGCGGTCATAGAAGGTAACACGGCCCTGGATTCCAAACTCGTGTCGAAGCAGTTCATCATCTCGCAACGCTTCAATGACTATTTCGACAAAGTTATCCACCGTGTCTCGCTCAAAATTTCGAAGGGACGCTTCCGAATAAATCGGCCTGTTCTGGATATTCGTAACAATATAATCTATTTGGGTATCTGAAGGGAAGAGGGCGCGCGAGGTAAAGGCAGGCGTGCGGTCGAATTTCCTCCAGACTTGCTCTTGGAATTTGGGGAAGTCAACCCAAGGGACTATGCGCTTGGGGTAAAGTCGGTTCACCGGGTCGGTCGCGTCGCCTTGAGTCGTGAGGGTCGCATCCGTCTCGACTCGGATCGCTTGAGATAAAGAGTTGTGGCAACGATCGAGAAGGCGAAACAGTGTGTTTGGCTGCACTCGCAGTTCTACCTCTTCTCGCGCTTTCCTCTCTTCTTCTCGCGCTTTCTTTTCTTCTTCTCGCGCCTGTCTCTCTTCCTCAAGCTGACGTCGTAGCTCAGCGATTGTTTCCTCCATCCCTTGTCCAACTCAGTGTTAGCAGATAATTGAGACACAGAAATCTGAAGTTAACAAAGCAGGGGATCCGCTACCTACGCGGGGAACAAACCATTACGGGCATGCGTGTCAGGATGTTTACCAGATTACTCATCCCATGGCGCTAGTCTGCTGATGCCTCAGGCAGAAAAACCGCTTTGGCCTTCGTGCTCACTTTTCAGAATGATAGGGTCCAATGTACGTATATACTCAAGGTTTCGCGGTGCCTACACTGCCAGTACCATGTCAGTACTTTGATAGCATCAAATTTTTTCCCTTACCATGCGATAAGTACAGTTATGATGAAGAGGATCATTGTCTCAATGACATTCATCACTCGCAATGTCCGCTTTTCACTTGTCAATCAAAATGCCCGCTGCACAGTGCTGTATGGTCTCACTTGAATGAAGCATATATGAAGCTGGTACTGTAGTCAGCAAAATTCCTTTTGTTCAGAAAGAATAGGAATTACTCATTTTCTCCCCATCATCCATGGATTAAGTCTGTGTATGCCCAAGACATTTGCGATTAGAGGTCACCTCAAAGAGGGTAAAGAGACATACCTGCATAGTTAAATACCTCGTCAAGATCTGGGGCCAAATCCTCCTACATTGGACCTGCGTCCACAGCTCGAGGAGGTCAAGCTGGGCTTTCAGTCTGCCAATTGGCGTCCAAGACAGTCTCACAGCCATAGCTGCCTAAGGTCTCTGGATTTACCTCCGTATATGTTATAAATCTTTCGATTTATATCTCTATCATCTCTATCACATCTCTTAAGGCCTACTGTCGGTGTGTCGCGAGTCGATAACGGTCGCTGTTACCTCGCAGCGCCCGCGCGATCGAATCCGTCATAATGTGGATCATATCATCACCGAATGTCATAGGTGGAGGGTCTCACGTATATGTATATGAGGACAGCGTCTTCCGGATGAATGATCAATATTCAGGAAAGCTATATTCGACTGTAGTTACAAGACGTTGCTCGAGGAAGCAAATCCTCGCGCTCAAGGGAATCTATATGTATCATGTAGGTCCCATAGGTCATTTCTCCGTTCATCCTGTATGCTTCACGGTATTTCCTGACAACAGGACCTACAGCTCCTGGAGGTTTATGGTTTAGCTCCGGGAAACGAAGAGTGATTTCCCCCCGAAAGATCGGTGACTGGGGACACACTGGAAGGGTCCCGTCGGCGGACCTTGCGTAACACTACAACTGAATGGAAATTTGCGACTTCATTCTCTTTATGAGAAATTTCTGAATCTGCTGGAATTTGCTAGGTGCTTGAATTTGCTAGGTGCTTAAATCTTGTAGTTATGTTGTAGCGGTCGCGCCGAGCTCAGGATGTTGTTACAATATGCCCCGAGACAATGGGAGGTCTAGAATAATGATTACAAGAGGGGCGGAACGGGAAAGGGATTCACATGACGATTAGCCCCTGTGGAGCTAGCTATAATTGGGATGAGGAAACGCAGTTGTCAAGCTTATTCGTCATCATGTATAACCTTTTTAGCAGCCTCTTGCGACGGCAGGATTAGCTAGTTACAGCATGTACTTAATTTTACACTTGGCTGAGGGTAGTTTTTCCTGATTGTGTGCATAAGGATATTTCGGAACGGAAAAACAAACAATGATTAGTAATGATGGACCTACCATCTCGGCAATTTAAGTACAATCCCAACCTCCCTTCCCCCAGAACTTGCCACTGTTGCTATCTTTGTTCCTTGAATGCATCCAAACCATTAGCTTCATACGCCATTTTACCTATTAATGGTCTGGCGTTCATAATCACCGAACTCCCTAGATACCTTTTGTTCGAACTGGTCTGTGTAGCACTCCGCTGGATTCATAGCAGCAGTGCCTTGGACTCAACTACATAGTCTGAGTCTGACATGGATGATGCCGTTCGTCCAAGCAAAGAAAAATTCGATCGTATCCTTTCCGAGAGCTATGATGAATGGTCGTCCCACCTGACAAATGCTCATAAAACCCCTCGTCTCCCACCTTCTTCCATCGATCTGAAATCGCTTCTTGAGAGAACACCATCTTTCCTTGGATATGGATTGGTTTCCAAAGACACTGAATTGCCCTTTACTTGTGTGGAAAGGGAATCGAGCAGGGGACAGTTTGGTCTCCTAATTTCTGGACAATCGACCTGGGCTACTTCATATGGGCAATGTTGCCTCGAACCGAAAACGATGTCTTTGGATATTCTGCTGGCTGTTCCCAACCTATTGATAGTGGAGATATCAAATTCTACCCCCCTGCAAGAATGGCCTGGTGTTGATGGCATCTTAAATCATGACGAGGGAAATTATATTAGTATTTTGTTCCTTGCGTGGGCTTATATCCTTTCTGCGCGATGGGCAGAATCACTGAAGCACGCTTCGGGACACCAATGCAGTAGCAACTTCACGCACAAGGCCACCTAGCTTGCAACAGGTTCTAGACACTATGATACAATCGAAATTGATATAGGACACGATGTTGAAGCTGCTGAAGCAGCTTGGTGGGGGGCTATATTGCGCTCTGGCGGCGGCTGGGAGATAACTACAGATTACCAAAAAAAAAATACCGCTTACCTTGGTCTGTTATTCTCTCCGATAAAGCCAACGTGGGGATAGCAGGAGGTTATCCAATCTCCAAGGAAGGACCGCTGTTATCTGGTGCTGCTTTGGAATATCTGGCCAGGTTTTGCTCTCGTCACCGTCTCTACGGACAGTGTTCCGTGGCCCTAGTTGCTGCGCTTTATATTCCATTGCTCAGTGGAGATTCTATTTCGCTTCCTGTCCCGAAATCAGCCTTGCACTATGGTCCGTCGTCTCTGTCGCAAAAATCATCAAATCTAGTGAAGGAATACTCGGAATTTCTTTCCCGTTATATGATGCTGAGTTCTAATGTGTGGGGCATGCGATCTTTACTTTCTAGTACCTTCTTTAACGGAGAGGTTGAATGCAATCTTGTCAGCGCCTGGCTCAATCCTATCTTTGCAATAACAAACCCTTTGGTCTAGGGTGAGAAGCCTCTTACGCTCGCCAAAGTCCTTGGATATCGGCAGCCTAGATTAGCTAGCCTTTGGCTCGGTGCGATTGTGGTGGGACTAGCAAACCCTACAATACGAAATATCCGGATCGGGCTTATAGCCACGGAATTCAATGCAGCGGCTTGGACAGGAACGCACCAATCTTTCATAACTGTGGACCCTGGTAGTAATGACGGTCAAATGATCCGCAGGGAAGACGAGTGTCGTTTGCTATTTATCACTGCCTGTGATGGATATACTAGACCCCCGATTCATCCGTGGAAACCGTTTGGAGAAACTCGGCTTCTTGATACTGAACTTGTAGTATAGCAACATGCCGCTTGCCGCTGTCACTGTTTGAAGTACAAAACCTGGAATTGGAATCTAGCAAATGGAGAAACGCTTGAAGACTCCGGCATATCTCTGATAGAATTTGGTGGAGAATTCCTAACACAGAAACATAAGGAAAGCTACTACCCGACACAAAATGGCTCACACTTGTTTTCCTAGGTAGCTTCGGAGGCTGCAACTCGCGGAATTTTTGGTTGGCTTAGATCCATAGGGTACCTAGCAAATGAAAAACCTTTATATCGGCATTCCTGGATCGACATTGAAAGCTCCGACGACGACGATGTTGATATCAACTTAGATAGCGGTCAAGAGGATGGTTGTCAATCGTTTGTCAGTCAATGGCTTAGCCTTGTGAACTAAAGTGTCTAGATCGTTAGATCAATCCACTCTTCAAAGCCGTCAGGCCCACCAGCGGGGTGAGCCTCGCATTTCGAGCAAATTGCCCATTTCCCGGAAATTCCGTGGTCGCCCGTTTGGCAAATTTTCCATTGTTTCCGACAACCCGCTTCTTTGCATGTGTACCTGTTGTGTGCATCATTCTAGTGGTTATAGTTTGCATTCCTGCAGGAGCCGGCTTGACCAGAACTTGCTGTTATTGCGATAAGGGCTATCGAAGGAGACGGCTAAAGGTGCCTTTTGGTCAGTATCATCCGATATTGCATGTCTCGTACTTCATACCTGTTAATTTCACTGACGAGGGCCTCCAAAGATAGAATGCGTGGTAGATATATGTAATTGAATGTATCCAAAGTTATTGGGTGCTGGAACGTATGTATTATACCAAATCTGTGCTCAAAGGTGCGTTGTCCGTGGTGTAGCTGTCCATTTATCCTTCTAGTCGCTAAACCCGAGTGTAGAGGCCCGTGCATCCCTACGGCCAATCAATGTATGTATTTCCCTGAAGTGTCACATCACAAGCGCTGAGGTGATCCAAGTAGTGCTAAAACAAAAATAGAGCAGGCTAGCGTTAAGAAACAGCCTATCATTCATAATCGGGAGGGATCTGTGCTTTGGCATATGCATGAAATCAAATTATAGCCTATATGCATATGACTTGGCGGTCGCGGCGTTGGCGTCGCCCCTGTGAAAACTGTGGCGGACTTTAGGTATAGGAAAACAAACGTAGGACTATATCATCTAGCACGGATCCAGACCTCACTGAATTTTAAGATCAAGAAGGCGAGCCAAACACCACCGTAGGAAAACATGAATCCCGGGTTGATCCGTTGGGATTCGCGACGCTTGAGCTGCTTTCCCAATGGGGGTCATATCCATAATTTTAGCGAACGTACAGTACAGTCGGTCTGTAGTAGCTTGCAGGTGCATGGAAATGTGCCCAAGTATCCAGCTTGTGGCAAATCATTATTGGTAACCCGAGATGTGCCAATTTAACTTTAGAAAAGAATCAAAGAGTGAATCTGACTTCGGGCGCGTCTGTATTATAATTTACAATAAGATACATAGACGAATGCAAGGTTGGTGGAAATATATCCTAATACGGACTAGTGCGCTTGAGGTGGGGCCTCGGGAGGTAAAGAGTGAGAACTGAGTTAAAACTGATTTCGAATTTCACGAACCAAGACAGTGGAGGCTGTCCTGGACTTTGCTGAAGTATCACACCGATTTCAAAGCCGCGCGCCATGAGCGCAGCATGAACACAACAACGGCACAGAGGCCACGGCAGGCCTCGGCGAGGCTCTAAATTTGCTTAGGAAGTGGTACACGATATATGTACAAAGGAAGATATATATAGTAGTGGTAGGCTGCATATCGTTCGACGAGAGGTTAGCGTAAATGAATTACACACACACACACACATACACTGTACCAATCAACCTGTTTCTTCGTATAGACACTGCGGGATTAATCCATGGTATGCATCAGCCTCATATCACAACAGCTTCAGATCCATCCTGTAGAATAGTTATACTGTGACCCAAATAACACTAGTGATCGTGACGAGGCTATCTTTCGTAGTGGCTGTAGATAGCGCGCTAGCAATTGGAGTGCTGGTAGATGAAGTGCTGGTAGATGAAGTGCTGGTAGATGAAGTGCTGGTAGATGAAGTGCTGGTAGATGAAGTGCTGGTAGATGGAATGCCGGTAAATGGAGTGCTGGTAGATGGGTAGCAGGGCAAATTCTTTTTTTCAATTGCAACACACCAGCTACCAGTCTTTAATCTATTATCGAGTACACAGGACGCTTTATTCCCATTATTATTGGTAAAAGTGACTAGTCCCGTGTGGTTCACCTGGATCCAAGCAGCAGGCGAGCCGTCTTCTGTACCGCATACGGCGACATTGAGCACATTCAATTCATAGTGGTTGCCCTTGACGTCTTTACTGAGCTCTAGCAAATTGTTAATAGCGGTCTTATGCTTCGATAGAGGGTGCCTACCTGAACAATCAACTCCATCGAGTAGGCTAAAAGACGCAGAGTAACCCGTGCAGCCATAATTATCGTTAGACCATATCAGACATTGCCTATCATGATCTATGACCTCAAAAGTTCCGGCTCGGGAAATGCCTGCCTGAATCATGGCTAGGATTGCAATTAAGAAATACATCTTCGAAAGACCGCAGGAATGATAGACTATCTTGACTTGGGTGGACGAGATGAAGAGCACACTGCGCGGCTTTAAATATGAATTGCATGCACCAGAGGACACGTTGGCACACGGAGCGTTAACAAAATTTCCTTGAGGGTAGCCAGAAATTCACGTAGATCGCTTGATTTTCCGAAAGAATGTAGTCCACGTAAACGTAGTACAGCGATTTTCGAAAACAGTTTACTCCTAGACACTCACACTTTGTTTGTCGGCCCGTATCCGAAACAAGCTGAACCCTTTTTGGGACGACTGGTAAGGTATTGTCCACTTGTTGGAACTTGCTGTCTTCCGTAACTTGCTCAGCCAATGAGGGCATTGAAATCTCTGTCATTTATTACTTGCTATTTCTTGCTATTTATGCTATGCTCATCCTTAGTAATCCGCTCATTCGGAGTTACTATAATTCCGGTTCTCAATCCGTATTCATGAATGCAGCACTGACACACCCCCTCAGCAAGCGCAGTGTCGCTGGCTTGCTGCCACTGGGAATAGCTTCATGAATCAGCAAGCTCTCCAATTGGCCCGTCAACCTCTCCCTGGCGTCTTTCCAGCATCCACCAAGTGGCTGATGTCCACCAAGTGAAGCATTTTCACAAAACGCTCGTGCTGCTGTCTTGGCAGCAATTTTGTGAGGCCGTCGGCTACCATTCTGGCAGTAGGCACCCATCGGATCGAAATCCGGCCTTTCTGCACTTCCTGTCTCAGCCATAGGTGGTGAATGTCTACATGACGAAGCTTGGTGTCGAAGCTAGCATCCTGAGACGTGAGCAAGTTGATCGCTCTCTCATTGTCGCATTCAATGCTAATAACGTGAGAAGGATCGAAACCAACATGCCGCAATAGTCGTCTCCACCATTGAAGGTGCTTGCCAGCTTCTGAGAGCCCAAGAAGCTCTGCTTCCGTTGTTGATGTAGTCACCGTCCGTTGTTTGGTGGCCTTCCAGTCCACAGGTCCTCCATAAACCTGGCAGATATATCCTGCAGAGCTCTTCCGGTCTGCATGATCTCCATACGACGCGTCACTTGCCAATTGGACGGATTCGATGTCTTCCTGTTGAGACCCATACTCGATTGCGTGGTACCGCGTTGAATAGAGGTAGCTGATCAGTCTATCAGCCGCCTTTTGGTGTTGAGGTCCAGGATTCGTCAAGAATTGAGCAAGCTTCGCATTCGCTTTTGCGGCATCCGGTCGGGTTATCGTGGTGGCATACCCGGCCGAGCCAACCTTTTGCTGGTATAGATGCACTGATTGAGCATCTGCCTTGCCGTGATACGGCTCTAATTCATCAAGCGACAGCGGTGTCGAAACCGGTGGCCTATCCGTTAGGTGATACCGGGCCGCGATACTTGATATATAGCTGTCTTGGCATAGCCACAGCTTCTTTAGACGCCGGTCTCTGATAATGCGGATATTCAGAAACCATTCCGCGTCTCCATGATCTGTAAGCTCCCAATGAGCTTCGAGATCTCTTTCCAGTTGATCAGCAAGCTTCCTGACGTTTTGATGACTTGCTATCAATATATCATCGACATAGAAAAAGACGATGATCCCATTTCCGATAAATACGCATGGGTCTTCTGGCACTTGACGGAGTCCTAATTTGGTGAGAACTCCGGCTGCTTCTTGCTGCCATAATCGAGGAGATATCCTCAACCCATAAAGCGCCTTTCGGAGCTTCCAGCACTTGCCAGGGGTTCCAAACCCTTCCGGCATTCTGGTATAGACGTCCTTGTCGAGCCTGCTATTCAAGAAAGCAGTGACAGCATCTCGCTGTCGAAGATCAAGATCAAACGCCGCAACAAGTGCGAATATCATCCTTGCTGTTCTTGCTGCTAGTGTAGCAGCCCGCTTTTCATCTGATGATATGGTCTCAAGATCACCTCGGACGCAAATTCTGGCTTTCAGTTTGATAAGGTATCCATCCTGATCAAATTTGTACGCGAAAACCCAGAGAAGTGGAAGTATTTGCTTCCCTCGATCCTTCGGACGATCGATGATATCGAATGTCGCTTTTCTAGTAAGCGATTCGATCTCTTTTCTCATAGCGGCGAGAAAGCCTTCCTGGAAGGGATGATTCATGACATCCTTCCAGTTCCTAGGAAGCTCAGGGAGATCATCTCTATGACGTCGAGTTGGCTTCTCGGCGTACAGACCAGCAGCAAATGCATGCAGATACGCTGGCGGTTCCATCGCGACGTACGAATAAGCATCATCTCGCTTAGGCTGACGTCTTCGAGAACCAGATATGATGTTTGTTTCATCGACATCTCCATTGATATCCCTTGGTGCGAGCCCAGCAAGCAATTGCATTTCGGCTTCTTCATCCGAGTCCACTTGCTGATCCTCTATAGCTTCCTGTACGACTTCTTGCGTATCATGAGCCTGGTCCCTTGCTAGATCTTGCGTGCCACGCGTTTCATCTAGCGTTTCCACCCCCTGACGAGACTCAGGATACTCGCTTGGCGGAGTAGGTGGAAGCGGGACTTCCTGGGGAAATGCGCCTGGGATGATGTCTATTTCATCCCGTCTTTCCCTTTCGGGTGTATTGTACACCCCCTGACCTCTGAATGTCTGGTCAGGCTTTTCCTGATTCCTGATTGGCTGAACGGTGTCTTTTGCAGAAGAACCGTCGCTGTCCAATAGAGGAATTGCTGCTTCTTTATGAGACGGTTTTTCGGCCGAAAAACGGTCTCTTTGTCCAATGTCTAGAGTCTCATGTTGAGCTTCATTGCTTCGGACATTAGCATTGCTATTAGCATTGCCATTAATGTTGACATCTTGATCATCGTCATTGAATGGTCTTGCTTCTAGCTCTGATTCAGGCATTGATCTAGTCGAGATCGATGCTTCGAAGGCTCTCGTCGCCTCTGTTTGGTCCAGTTCTTGCGGTTCTTTCAGTATTGGCAATGGCACTTGCTGGAAGTGCTGAAAGTCCGCTGTATATCGACGTGATTCATCGAAGATAGCATCCCGAACGAGCCGTATTTTGTTGGCTTGCGGAAACCATATTTTCCAAACGTTTGATGCTATATAGCCTACCAAGAAGCCAATCTCAGCACGAGGATTCATCTTGTCTGACTGAACCTGCTTCTCGATACGGCAATAAGCGAGACTGCCGTATAACCTGACGTTGGCCAAGTTGATTGGTGGCGCTTGCTCGCCGGCGAAGCTCTTCATGACTTCACCCCATGGGACTATCCAACGTTTCTGATCAGCCAGATACGTTGGGGTCCGATTCAGCAGCCAGACTGCTGCCATTGCTGCTTCAGGCCATAGCTCCTTTGGGAGCTTGCCTTCGAGTATCAGCATTCTCATGCGAAGAATGATGACACCTCCTGCTCTTTCGGCATACCCATTCATCTCGGGGTGCCTTGGTGGACTATGATAGACCACAATTCCATCGGATGTCAAGCTCTGCTCAGCTGGACGTCCTGCAGCTTTCTCATTATCATAATTGAAAGCTTTGATCGGAAGTTTCCACCAGTTCTTGGCCAATTGGACGAAATGATTGATTGCAAGCTGACATTCGGGCTTGTACTCATGCGTCATGACCCAGTGGAACCTTATTCCTTCAATATAGAAGTGGGAGATCCAGTTATGCTTATTGTAAGCACGTGGAAGCTGTATCAGATCAAAATGAACCCTACCAAGTGGCCCGAAAACCCTTCCAATTGGTCTTCTTGATACTTGGCGATCTGATCTTCCTAGGTGGCAAGTCTCACAAATTGCGTGATCCTCTGTCCTAGCGTCAATTGTGACGCCCTCGACTAGCTTTGCCACTTGCTGTACAGTCTTGTACTGCGGATGGCCTAGTCGACGATGCCATACTTCAGCTGATGCGGCTGACTGTTTTGGCGATGATGATGATCGGACGGCATTTGCTGTCCGTAACGGTGCTCTCCCGGGTTGATCGAAGACCCATAAGCCGGCTGACTTCCACAATTTCAGGCTGACAATTGGGATGGCATTGTGATCTTCGATATAGCCTGCTTCCTCAGACCAATGTCCGCCTTTCTCCTTCAAGCGAGCGTACGACACTAGGTTTACATGGAAACCTGGTGCGTAATAGACGTTGCTTAAGGTAATCACCTTCTCCTTTCTTGTGATTGGATCGATGCCATGAAGCCTTGCTGTCCCTTGCCCGATAACAGATGTCTTGCCGTCACCGGTCGATAGAGAGTGCTGGCAAGTGGAAAGGTCCACAAAGCGACTTCTATTATTACAGACATGTACGCTGGAACCGGAGTCCAAGATCCACCGGTCCTTGATGGATGACGCCGGTAGGTCTAGTAAGCTAGTGGAGAAGGCCATGTTTCCAGTGACTGCATTTGACAGCTTTGGCGATGCTTTCTCAATAGCTTCATTGACCCATTTCTTCCACGCTGGATCTGCAGCAAGCGTTTTCTCGGCCTGTCTCTGCCTCTCTTTTGATACCGTGAAACCGTCGGGTCTCATCGCGGCATTCAGAGTGTAGCAATTGGCGGGTTTGTGGAATTTGATTCCACACGGGCATGGTCTTGCCTCAAAAGGCGTGTCGTCCAATTTGCCTTTTGAGTCCTTTTTCGCATCACTTGGCGCATCAGTTTTCGCTTCCTGATATCCTTGCCAGGTGGAAAAAGACCCCTTCAGTGCTGCCGCCGGTGGCAACGCTATATTAGGTCCAATTTCACGATATGTCGATCGGAAGGACTCGATCAGACTTTGAGTCTCTATCGATGCTTTCTCCATCACGATCTCTTGGAATTTGGCTTGCCACCAGATTGGTAAGACCTCTTTCACGGCTTGCAGTAAGTCCTTATTTGCGTTGGCAGTTTCAATGATTTTGAGACTGACTGCTCGCTCATATAGCTCCACCCATGAGATCAGCCATTTTTCGACATCTCCGGTCGGCTTTTGGGTTGACAAAGCTCTCCATTGCATGCGTACTTCTTCAGTATACGCTTCAGATCTAGCGAATCTCTTGCTGAGATATACTAGACGGTCGTACGGTGTTTCGCACTTCAAAACTGCATCACGGAGTGATGCATCCAGAGAGTTGACGATAAGATCATCAATCTCATTTAGGCTTTTGCGCTGTCTATCCCAGCGGTTTGCCTTGATTTTATAGACTTCGAGGCGGTCTCTCCAGTCTCGCTTGTCTTCCTGAGACCCATCATCAGGGTAGTCAGCTGCAATAGGCTCTCTGAGAGCCTCTGGACGATGCAATTCGTCCGCATCGGGGTTGCAGAGATCCCAAATGTCTCTGCGTTGAGCGAATACCTTCACTCGCTGGTGCCACGACTGCCATTGTGACGAGTCCTTCAGTTTTTCGCTCTTCATAGCGGAGAGATAGGTGCTCGAGTCCATTATGTTCACTTGTTGATCGCAGCAAGTGAGTTCCTTGGACCTTTTCGGATGGATGAGGGTATTCGGAGGATTCAGGGGTTCAGGGGTAATCGGACGGCGACGAGAAAGCTCTGGCAAGTGAATTGTCACCTGTGAATAGCTTCAGAATAGTCTTGCTGTCCAATTATGGGCGTACCGGGCTCATAACTGTTGGAACTTGCTGTCTTCCGTAACTTGCTCAGCCAATGAGGGCATTGAAATCTCTGTCATTTATTACTTGCTATTTCTTGCTATTTATGCTATGCTCATCCTTAGTAATCCGCTCATTCGGAGTTACTATAATTCCGGTTCTCAATCCGTATTCATGAATGCAGCACTGACACCACTTATAGAGTATTTGAATTTACGAGCTAGCTAGATCCGGCCTAGCGCTGTCCCGGGTACGGGCCGAGAAACGAAGTGTCTATGTCTGTGGGGTAAACTATTTTCGAAAATCGCTGTAAATCCAACACAAATATCTGTCCCTAAATAAGTGTTAGAATCACTCAATATTGACGTAGCCAATCTTTTTAAATGACATAGCATTTGCTTTCGTTTATGAAATGTGACGTAGTGACTCCCCATTCTTTTCAACCTTAATAAACATAATTAGTAGGCAGATTACGACCTTGGTTAAGAGTGGTTAAGAGGCGGTTAAGAGGTGGTTAAGAGGTGGTTAAGTGATGGTTAGGAAGGGTGGTCAGGCACTTAGCAGCGGCAGTCCTGAATGACCGTTAGAGATTAATCGAAGAATGATGGGTTATGATCTTGGTTCCCCCCAGCATTCGTTCAACGCATGCGAGACCACGCTTTTGCGAACGAGTGGGCAAAAACGGCCCGTTCTCACCTGCACCCCGAGAGATCGACATTCCACAGAAAGGGAAAATGGTGAAGACGTTTGGTAGGAATACTGTCGTTGCGGAAATCTCTGCATAAATGTCCCGAGCAGGAGTGGGAAATCTGCGGTGTGCAACTATCCTTAATCCTCAAAGTTCGTTAACAACAATGTGTGGTATTTTGAAGCGGCAATACATGCTACCTTCCTTCCATCGATCAATTCGCAGATATCGATCATTGGCAGAAAAATGCCCATCTTCCTGTGATACATGTAGTGAATTATCCAAGCGCACATATGTGAGTACCAATAACGATGTGTTATCTTGCCCTATAACGATACTGACGTCCTAAAGTTAAGCCCTGCAACCGTACCTCAGGAACCCCCGGGTGCAATGATGGACTCTCTGTTGCAGGGCTATCGTCCCAAATTCAAGCCCCACCCGCTAGGGTGGGAGGTAGAGGCTCTTCTGTCCTTGAGCCCTGCACAATAGATATACTACTACAATAGGAAACTGTTTGGTGGATATATCGCCTTTTTGATAGACCGAATTCTTGCAGATTCCTGCAAGAATGCGGTGACAGCCTTCTTGAACACGTCCTACCTCCAATCGGTCCTACCAACAGCACCGATACTCCTTCGTGCATGACCCGATAAGGTTGAAGGTCGCAAGCTCTACTTGAAAGGATCTCTCCAAATTCCAGGAAAGTCTTCTCAAGACTGGGTTAACGCGGTAAAAACGGAAGCTTTGTTCATAAAGCCAAAACACTGGGAATAATGACCAAGGACTTTTTATCAAATCATGTATCCACTTATTATTCTTATTTTAGCTTGATTGATTGAAAGGTCGTGAGCTACGCAACAAGAAAACCTTCTAGTATCAGAAAGCCCTTTTTTTAATATCCGGCGTGGGGTGGAGTTACTGTAGTATTATTTTGCGTGAGGGTCGGTGCCTGCTACTTTCAGACATCTGCTTCAATTGTCGTTTTAAATGTTACTGTAATAGCTGGTTGGCGTATTCTCAGATTTTTGTGCAATTATATGTCCGTTTTGCAGTTAAGGTCTGAAATGATAAATGGTTATACCCGGGAAGTCACGCGGGTATTGAATGCCGGGTCTGTGAAGTCTAGGCCAAGGCTGTCCAGTGTTTCTAATAGGTCATCAACATATATTTTCTATACCCAGCAGGACTTTGTAAGCATTGCAAATTTTTTTCTATTAATATTCAAGAAGACAGCTTACAAGAACCATATCTTCTGCATCCTCGAGTGAGAACCGAGTTAAGTTGTTGATTGACTCTTGGCTTCGAACAAGATCGTTCATCCATCGGTCGATGGTTTTTAGATCCCATTGACCAGTGGCGAACTTCAAAAATGGGTACTGCTTAGTTACAGCTAGTAGTAGTAGTAGTGTTCATTTACACTGGCCCCTCGCCGAAGCGATATGCAGTATACGACAACTATATATCCGAGTATGTACATGTAGAATGGCCCACTTCCTGACACTAACTTAGAGCCTCGTCACGGCCTATCGTGGCCAATTGCCGCTTCCATTGTTAGGCTGCCCTCATAGCGCGCGACTGCGAAACCGCTGCGACGCCTCGGCGAAGTCCAATACGGCCTGAACCGTCTTCGCCCTTGAGACGGTGTCTGGTTTACCTTTGTCACCTTCGTTTGAGCCTCCCAGCAGGCTCGACACACTGTTAAACATGTCCCCAACTTTCCTTCTTAATTCTGTCCTTAGCTCTCGGAGCCTTGGGCATTCTATTAACATATGGGCAACTGTCTCCTGCGCGCCGCACTCGCACCGATCGTGCTCGCTGTATCCAATCTCCTTCCGGTAGCTGGATAGCTAGTTATGGCCCGTGCGTAGCTGTGTTAGCAGGTACGCGCGGTTCCTGGGTGAATTCCCGTATAGCTTCCTAGTGTACCGCGCCGGTAGGGTGCCGTCAATTTTCCGTAGGTGAGCGCCTTTGGTGCTTGACTTCCACTCTCGCCCCTACTAAGCATAAATATTCCCGCGGACAAATGCGTTCTCCCTCGATAGCAGCGGCCGGAAGGGATGGGATTTACCCGGCTGCGCAGCTTCTTTGGCCAATCGGTCCGTAGCGTCGTTCCCTGGGATTTCACAATGTCCTGGCATCCATTGGAGGCGGAGCCTAACGTTCACTCCCTAGACCTTAGCGGCTGCTTGGAGGATCGTATAGATGATACGCTGTCCCGACCGATTTTTGACGTTCTAGATTGCTTGCAAGGCCGATCTACTGTCATATAAGATTGTTGCTATTGATTGTACTCTATCCTCGACATTCGTGCGCTTATAGGCTAGCTTGAACACCATGTCGACCGCGTAGAAGATGCCAATAAGCTCTGTAACGTGGACCGACCAACGTTCCATCGTGCCCACCTGGACCTGTCGAGATTCCATCACCTCTTTATTGTCGTTAAGTGTAACTATGGCGGCCCCTAGGTGGCTCTCACGCCCGGAGGCGTCTGAGTAGACGATTATGTCTGACGTGTCCTTTGCGGACGCCGCCCGTTCTCTCGCTGTTTCTCGGTCAGGTTCAAGCTCAATCTCCGTGAAGGCGTCCTTTCGCCACGGTGGCAGCGGGCGTGGGTCAATCGTCTCTAGTTCGTTGAGCCTGTCGACGTCCATGGTTTTCAACGCCTCCGCCAGAGGGAAGCGCGCGTACGATCCTATGTTGTTTCTACGATTCTGGGCGCGTGATAATGCGCCCCAAATAGGGTGGTCACGCGGTAGAGTATGTAGTTTCGCGATGGTGCGCTGCGCGCGGTAGCGAAGACGAAGATGCGTAGGAAGTATATGAGCTTCTACCTCTAACGTTGCGGTGGCTACTGTCCGGAATGCCGATAGAATCCGGATCAACGCGGTTCTCTGCACTGTGTTCAAGTGTCGTAGGTGAGTCTTATCCCGGAGCGGGTCATGCCAGACTGTGGATGCATAGTCTATGACGGGTGTGACATAGGCTTGGTAGAGCTGTCGCATTTGTTCTGGGCGTAGGTGTCGTAGTCCACTTAGAGCGATAGTCGTTTTAGTAGCGCGTTTGATGGCCTGCTGAACGTGTTCCTTCCAACGAAGTCCCCGGTCAAGCACTACCCCTAGTAGTTTGGCTGTAGGTGATGGCTTAACGTCGGCTCTATCGAAGGTGATTTGTCCCTCTAAGTGTTCTCCTCTCTTTCTGGTGAGGTGGATGAGCTCGGTTTTCTCCGCTGCGAAGCAGGATCTAGTTCGCCGCGCCCACTCTTCAATCCGAGTTATATCCTCGGACTGAATTTTGACCAAGTTTTCCTCGGCCGAGCGGCCTACTCGCCATCGGAAGTAGTCGTCAATAAATGCCGACGCGCCTCCGTGGGAGTCGACGGGCTGGTCAACCAGATCGGCGTTGAAGAAAGCAAACAAGATCGGAGAGAGTGGCGACCCTTGCGCTAGCCCTGCATTCGCTAGGGGCTCTGTCTCGGTACGGAAGTTATCAAATCCAATATTGGCGTGCCGGTCACTCATGAAGCTCGCGATCTATTTCCTTGCCGCCGTCGGGATCCCTCTCGCCTGTAGAGCGGCGTCTAGGCTCACCTAGTTCACTCCGTTGAAGGCACCCTTGAGGTCGAATGCGATTAGCGTCACTACCTTGTGTTTATACCACGCTTGGTCGATCGCATTGGACAGCACTAGCAATGCTTGCTCGGTGGTTCTGCCCGGGCGTCCGCCAAACTGGCTATTTGGTAGTAGGCCGTGTTTCTCTGCTATATAGGACAACCGTCGGGCTATCACTGACTCGAGAAGCTTGCCGAGTGTGTTCAGAAGTGAAATCGGACGGTAGGCACTGGGCATCGAGTAATCTGGCTTACCCGGTTTCCGCAAAACGACGATTTTCGCACTCCGCCATTGTTTTGGATGGTGTCCTAAGTCTACACTCGCTGTGAAGATGCTAATGATAAAGGGCTTTAAATATACCTATAGCTTCTTCTAGACTAGTATCGGCAGATTGTCCTCCCCTGGTGCCGTAGCCTCTTTCGCTGCCTTTAATGATCGCTCAATCTCGAGTTCGGTGATCGGGTGCCACGGAAGATCCGCCTATGGCGACGCTGGTGGGCTAGGGTCGGGTGTGTTCATTGCGGGAAAGAATACTTCAAGAAAGGCCTTTGCTTTGTCTTCGTTCTGGGTGAGCTCCTCCGAGCCAACTTGTAGGGCTGGGGTATAGCCCCACGTCTCTCGAGGCTTTATGTAGGTTGCTGCTTTCCAGAGCTTCCCTTCGCCCGCCTCGTCTAGGAACTGCTTCTAATGCGACGCTTTAGCCTTTTCTATGGTCCGAGTCTATGCTCGACGCTTTTGTCGCATAGCCTCAAAGGCGGCAGTAGTGCTAGCATAGTGTCGTCCTAGTTCCGCACTGCTAGCCTGCCACCTCCTTCGCAGTTGATTGACTTCAACTTGTTGAACCTTGAGGTCTGGTGTAAACCATCGTTTAGAGTATGGCGTTGTGCGAGTATCAGGTGTGAACCGGTTAACGGCCTAGGCTGTTGCTGATGTGAGTTCTTCCACAACTCGGTCGAGTGCTGGTCGAGTCTTGGTGTCTTTCTAGGGGCTCATCTGCCGGGCTACTTCCTCGCCGATTCTGTCCTAGTCCGCGCGTTCGTACGCCTTTCTTACTTTAATGCTTGGCTTGCTCTGAGGTTGAAGATTCCATTCCGAATAGGTGGCGCGATGGTCGGACCCGTAGTTCTCGTGATACAAGTGGCATTTGATAAGCAGATCTGGTCTGTCTGTCACTGTCTGGTCTATGGTCGAGTTTTGTCCTGGGTTGTTCAAGGCCCAGAAAGTCGCTGTGCCTCGAGGGAGGCAGCTGTGGAGATTGTGAGTTTAGAAAAATTCAATCAGCTCGCTGGCGTCTTCGATGAATCTAGGTGGGATATGACTGGCGCCCTATATCGGATGATGTCGGTTAAAGTCGCCAGAAAGAATGATGCTTTTTGACCGCTGCTCGTTCTGGGTTGCGGTTGTGATGGTGTTTTGTACTGCTATGAGCGCTAGTGGTGCTGGCGCGTTGTCGGTCGTGAATAGTGGTACTAGAGGTATGTAGACCGAAAAGATAAGGATTTGGAAGTCGGCTGACTAGATCTTAATGGCTATGACATCTGGGTGGTCGCAAGGTATCTGGCGGTGTAAGGAGGTGGATATTCGTCTATTTACGTAGACGAGGCTGCGGAATCGAACTGCATCGGTCTGCGTGGAAGGTCGATAAAGTCGCTAGGCGCTGTGGTTGACATATGTGCGATATGTGGTAGTGGATGGCTCCTAGATCAAGAGTACATCTAGATCTTGGCTCTGAGGATCGTTGATCAGTGCCTCCATTCTCGGTCCCGATTTCATCATGTTCAACTATAGGATGCGGAGGTTTCTCTCTAGCATCTAGCGGGGTTAAGCGCCGCTAAAGCTGAGCACTGTCGATCGCCAGTAGGGTGTTCACCACTATAGTCGAGGCATCGGGCCCTTACTCCGGGTGGGCAACACTCTCGTTCGTGCTAGCCCGCACAGTGTCCGCATCGTGGCGTTTCCTTGCATGACCATGCTAGGTGGCCGAACTATTGGCACCGGAAGTATCTCTTCTTCTTGACTTCGCGTCGTTCAATGTGATGAAGGTAGTGCTTGTTGACAACGAAACCGTTCCGAAGAATATGTTCCGCCCCCTCCGCGGAGTCGAACCAGACTCCCAGTGATGCAAATTTCCCCAGGGGCTTGTCCTTCGCCTTTATCTAGGCCAGCTCTTCTATGCGGAAGCCGTGTTCTGCTAGGTCGTTGTCTTCGGTGATCTTCTCTACTGCCTAGACGGCCCCCGTATCTAGGTCAAACTCCTCGGTGGGGGTCCGGTGTATAACGACACCGAACCGTGGTTTTACCAGCTTCGTGTTATTGCCTAGGTTATGTAGCCACTCGGTGTTGTTGCGAGCCACGTTAGCTGACTCCATGTTCTTGAATCGAATGATATAGCCGGTTTTGGTGGTGCCAATGCCAGCCACTTGAGCGTCTTGCGTCGCGGCGTCGCTTTGCAATGCCGAGCAGATATACGTGTTGGCGGCTTCGATGGGGAGATATCGCCCGAAGGCATTGCCGTCGTTGTTAACGTTGTCCCTTGGGTCGACAAAGGTCCTCTGAGTGCTGATTCGAACGCAATTTTGTTCTTTCTCGGGCTGTTGGTGGTCCAGCGGGGAGGTGCCATTGCCGCCGTTAGCTGCGACTGTGGCCCAAGTCCTAGTCGCTGTCACTGGTGGGGCGTTTTTAACCTGAGTTCGCAAAGCTTTCACCTCCTCATAAAGCTTCTCGTTCTGTTCCTGGAGAACGTTCTGGTTGTGCTTAATCTCCTATAGTTCATTTTGGGTAGTTGCGATGGCCGCGGTTTGGTGGCGGATGACGTCCTTCAGCGTGCCGATGAGTTTCCACACCTCCTTGGTGGTGATTCGACCCGCAGGGTCCGATGGTGCGAAGGCATCGCCGCTCCGGGTTCGCTTCCGAGTCTCAGAGAGCAAGCCGGACCTGTCTGCAGCTCCCGTGGCCTGGAGTTCTTCACCTGGGATGCTGGCGATGAATTCTTGGGTGTTTGTGGGAAAGGGCTCGGGCCCTCCCGTCGGTGGGTCCGCCATCGCTTTGGGGATGGTTCCCGTTCGGTACACAACGTTAAAAGTTTATATCGCCGTGTAATCGACAACCGCTTTCTCCTAAGGATACAGGATGGATCGAAAATTAATTATCCCACTATTCGCATGGGTCCGTTGTATCTATTAGTACCCTTAGTTACAGCTAAATTCGAAATTGGCTTCCTACTCTATGCGGGGAAATTGTTTCTGGAACCCTAAATCGAGACACACTAGACCCGATACGGGTAGCGTGAATGCAGGGGCCGTCACGCCAAAATTACAGCGTACGGTTCTTTCAAAACATTCAATACGCCAGGCGTGTATTAAACACATGAAGCTACGGGCTATTAATTGCATAATGACTTAACTTATATTGAATTGATCATAATGAAGTGTACTTCTGACTATACTGCCAAATATAGTGAAGCCAGCAATACACATAATGGATGTAATAAAGCTACAGTGATCATTCCTCGATAGTCAGACACCTAGTTTCCCATTCCAGCAGGGTTTCGGAAGTGTGCAAGGTGGGTGATTCGGACCTAAAATTAGATCCTGTTTGATCACGCAGGCTCTGAGTAAATCGATTGCGTCGGCACTTCGACCTACAGACTCCCAGGTAAAGGCTAGGTTGGCCATGCTCGTCAGCGTGGAGGGATGGTCCGCGCCGAGTTTCGTCTTGCTCATCTCCATGACCTGCAGGTTGAGCTGCTCGGCCTCTTCCCATCGGCCCTGCTTCCAGAATGTCGACGCTAGGTTGGCCATGCTCGTCAGCGTGTCAGGATGGTCTGCGCCGAGTTTCGTCTTGCGAGTCTCCATGACCTGCACCTCAAGCTGCTCCGCCTCTTCCCATCGGCCCTGGTTCATATACGTCAATGCCAGGTTGGCCATGCTCGTTAGCATAGAGGGATGATCCGCGCCGAGTTTTGTCTTGTGGGTCTCCATGACCTGCACAAAGAGCTGCTCCGCCTCACCCCACCGCCCCTCTAGTCGGTAGGCTAATGCTAACATCGCAGTGCTATTAAGGGTGTCTTCATCTTCGGCGCCGCCAATCTTCATTCTTTGCTTCCTTGACATAGCTGCCATCTCCTCTGCAACCGAAATACTGCCACACTCTGTCGTATACCACGCCCCTCTATAGAGTAGTGCGGCCCAGTTGCGGAGTGAATCTTGCGATTTCGGTCGATGTAACACAGCCGATCTCACGTGTGGAAATAGTGAACGACATCTCTCCCAATTTGCGTATTCACCGGTCGGAAATTCACTATAAAGGTTGCTGATGAAACGTTCCTTCCACTCCTCCTCCTGACCATAGGTTTTCAACCATGTGCGTACTGTTAGCTGTACTAGCCGATGCATCGTGAACACCATGCTATCCTCACTGGTAGCAATAAAGGAATAGTCTCTGAGAGTTACAATATCGCTTTCAAAGTCGTCATCTACGTCGCAATCGGACGAACAATCCGTATCCTCTTCACTTGATCTGTCCGCAACTTCTTCGGGAAAATCCGAAGAGTCTCTTTCCATGCCTCGAACCCGTAACAGGTCCCCCGGGATTCCCTGCCAGTCGAAAAAGCTTATAAGAGACAGTAGATCCGCCGCCGACTGCCGGATTCGTCGGATATGGTCGAATGATATTTGCCATGTCAGTAGAATCGAGTTCTTTGCCTCCCAGTCTCGATGCGTGTGTTGTCCCTCGTGATGAAGAAGCTTCGTGGCTTGATGATCACTCTGCCGAAGCTTCTCTAGGTATTGCGATACCGAGCAACGGGGTGAACGATGGGCGATGTAGCTAGCTACTTGCACAATCGCGAGTGGCATGCATTCAAGTTGCTTGACTAGCCGAACCAAATCCTCTGCCTCTGTATATGAACCTAGCTTCTTCTGCATTAAAACCAACGCCTCGGCAGTACTCATCGGTTGCACATCGATCAGGTTCTTCTTGTGGCCGGCAATTTCCAACCCTACTGCTTTGTTCCGGCTCGTGATAATGATAGAGCCATTCGAGCTTTGAAGGAGGTACCTAAGCGGTGGCCGCGTCGAGACATACTAGGCGTTTGCTTGAGTCTCTATTCGAGTTGCCAATGGTTTGCGAAGGAGCTCGTCATCATCGACATTATCAAGGACAAGAATCCACCTTCCGATCTTTCCATCTTGCAACCAGTTCCCAAAGAGTTGGAAGATATTCGCGTTGCGGTCCTGGCGCCCGGGGATTTTAGCACGGTCGGCTAGGTTACGCAGACTTTCATCGCAGCGCGCCGCGTTACTCGCATGAACCCAGAAAACCCAGGTGTCAGGCGATTTCTGCCGAACTCGGTGGCAGTATTCGATGGCGAGTCGAGATTTCCTGTTGTAAAGTCAGCCTTGAACGAACTGCCATAGGCTGCGTTGATCTAACCCAACGCCCCCTAGACCAACGAGAACTATCATAGACCCCGGGATCGATGACTTTTCGTGGATTTGATCAAGGAGTCCATCGCGGCTGACAAAGTCTGGATCATGCGGGAACGGCACGGTCGACAGAGGCTCTGGGCGGGGCTCTGGATGCGCTGGAAGATGTATCGGCCCGTGGCTGATCCCCACCTGGAACCCCGAATTCTCGTCACCAAAAGATATAGAGGTCATTGTCAATAGGCGATCCACCCGATTTGAGTTTCCGGTAGAAGGAAAGTGCTAGGCCCCCATGATTGAGGCCCATCTTCAGCCTCACTATCAGGTGACCCCTTGGACGCTAGGCGTTGGGCTCAGCACTAGGTCAACCTGGTGCTTTCTTCCCTCGCCTATCGAACCTAGAGAGTGGGTTCACATACGTGGCAACACAGACCTGATCAAATCAACTGTGCGGCGTGCGTGCATTTCAAACGCGATGTACCGCGCTAGCTTAGCAAAAATGTCAATGTGCCCGTCTCTCAGCCAGTCAATATCGGGGTATTACCGCCCTACCCCACCCAAAATCCTGACCTGGACTATTTATAGGCAAGTCTTATGCGGCTATCAACTTAATGACACGTTAATTAATGCATTGAATAGGCAGTAGGTAAGGCTAACCAGAGATTGACCTTCTCTTCTTTCTGTCCCTTTGGCGCCCCCAAAAGACATCGCTGCTATAAACCTAGCCATCTGCATACCAACGCCAACGGCCTCTTTGCTCTTCTCTGGTGGCTTCCAGCTTGGTATCCTATATCAACCATTTCACTAGTCCCACTCGTGCCTCGTAATGTCTAACCCAGAAGATTACACTGTCGGTTGGATTTGCGCCATCACCACTGAATATGTTGCCGCTCAAGCGTTCCTCGACGAAAAGCATGACCCCCTAGCGTATCTGCCACCCCACAACAAAACTGACTACACTTTGGGAAGAGTTTGGAAACACAATTTGGTGATTTCCGTTTTACCCATGGGAGAATACGGCACGAATTCGGCAGCTCGGGTGGCAGAAGACATGATGCATAGCTTTCCGAATATCCGTATCGGCCTTATGGTCGGCATCGGTGGCGGCGCGCCAAGCCAGAAGCATGATATCCGCCTAGGAGATATTGCGATTAGCATCCCCCGCAATAGCCAGGGCGGTGTCCTTCAGTATGATTTTGGCAAGACGATCCAAGGCCAAGCCTTCTAGCCCACGGGCTTTTTAGATCAGCCACCCACCGTTCTACGCGCAGCTGTAAATGGACTCGAAGCCCAGTATGAGAGCGAAGGAAACCAACTTAATGAAGCAGTCTATAAGATCCTCGAGAAGAAGCCGCGACTACGAAGGAAATATCAGCGCCTAGATCTAGCTAGTGATCGGCTGTACCGAAGTCAGGTTGTTTATCCCGTGGACGGCGATTTAACTTGCACTTTGAGTTGCGGTGAAGATCCATCCTGCCTAGTTCCACGATCTCCCCGCACCGAAGAGGATGATAACCCGGCCATTCATTACGGCCTTATTGCCTCAGCCAACCAACTCATGAAGGACGCTTTGATTCGAGACAAATTGGTTGCGCAAAAAGACGTTCTGTGCTTTGAAATGGAAGCAGCTGGGTTGATAAACCACTTTCCTTGTCTAGTGATCCGAGGCATCTGCGACTATGCCGACTCGCATAAGAACAAAGCCTGGCAGGGGTATGCGGCCATGGTTGCAGCTGCGTATGCCAAAGACCTTTTGTATCGAATTGCTCCCCAGCAGGTGGAACAAGAGACAAAAATTGTCAATGTTCTAAAGGAAGGAGATCACTATACAAACATCACTTTCGGAAACCACAACTCTGGCTTTCAGGTTGGCGTGAATGATGGCCCAATTAATGCGACGTTCGGGGCCAAGTGATTGGTGTGTACATATCCGCGTGGCTTTCAATGCCTATTTCTGACGATGATTTTTATCAAGTGAATATCTAATCTGTGTTTGCGAACAACGTGCACGAGGAATTGACGTTGATGCGCCTCCTAATGCTTAGCTTCCACCCCTAGCGTTGGTGGGTTTAGCCAATAGTTACTAATCGTCATGGTCCATCAAGTCTGAAAAAGTAAGGTTGTGGAAGATGGTGGAAGTGGAAATGGACAAGCCATCGTTGCTAGGGCGGGACACTCGGTGTAAAGATCCACAGGAACCAAAGTCTGGAGCAGTCGACTTCCATGCAAACAAACCAAACCACCAGAGCCCGTTGCCTAGGACAGACCTCAAACCACCCGCGTACACCCACGTCTTTTGGCCGAACGCTGTTCTACAGTACATACAGTATAGGACCAACGCTCATTATTTACTTTAGGAATGCTAGCCTGGCCTGGCGACATATTCATGCTCTTGCTCATCCACTTGCTCAATCTGTCAGCCGCAATCCTCTTTCCATCCCTCCCTGGTCTCATTCTGTTCAGGCTGACCTTCGATGGTGTTATAGCTAGGCTATTCGGGCGCATTCGCTGCCTAGGTGGCATGGCTTTCTCTGTGCCGGACGATGAAGATACCCAAAATGATTTCCTCCGGTTGCGGGATAGAACCCCATCATATGCCCCAACTCCCGGTTGTTTTGACCACGAATCATCTTTGAATATGGGTTTCTTTTCACCTAACCCCTCGCAAGCACCGGATGAAAGCTCGCCCCCATTACACCATGCACAGCCTGATCCAGTAGGCTTCTTACATATGGTAGAACATGATAATGAAGGGGCCCCGGAGGAACAGCCACAAGAATGTATCCAGTACAGGATCGAGTGGAAAGTCACGCTAAACAGGCGAGTCGTAGCAAAGGACACGGAACAAGATCTGGTTCAATTGCCCAGCTTCTCCTGGCCAAGGATCCAGGGGGAGGCCGATAGAATTCTACGCGGAAAGATAAGCCGCGACCGACGGGTCAGACCAGACGATACGACCGTGGTGGCCTCTGTAAATGATCGGTCTCAACGGGATTTGACGAAACGGTTTGAGGGGACTAATATAGACTGGACTGAGATAGAAAGGCAGTTGCTAATGTGGGCTGGCCTGTGCCGTCTTGGCAAGACAATCCGGCTTCAAATATCTGTGAGATATATGGAAGATAGCTCCCCGCCTCAATCGAGATACGACAAACGAGGGAAAAGCTCGGTCACCAAACAGATGCTCACCGATCGAGATGCCTAGCTTGACGCTGAAGACGCTTCTGGACAGCCCTCGGTTTGGCGAGAGGTATACCAAATGATGCGATGTCCTGGTCCGCCATGCCGCCATAAAGGTCAATATTGCTGGAAAGACCCCGTGGGGAAACGACATTATAAGCTGCGAACACATCAGCTAAGGAGTTTGGTCCGATATGTGGAGAAAGGCGGTATACTGGAAACCCATGACGACATCCCAGACAGCCTCCGTGAACAGCTCTATGCCGAGGACAACGAACGAACCACAAAGCTCAAAAGCCATCCTAATACTTCAAGTGGATCGATGTACCCTCCAATTAATATCACTGTGCTTCCTAATCAGGTATCGTAGCCGGTTGCAACCGGTACAAATAACCCAGTATCTTGCTCTTCGATCGCATCGAAGGCTCCAACACCCGATCCAGTTGAGATACCTGGTCTCCTTGATGTGGCAGTGGAGGAGTATAGTAAGTGGCAGCAATCACGGGTAAGTAGAGACAACCTCAAAGACGACATCCGCAAAGCGCGAGACTTGGCACTCGCCAATGGCCTTGATCTCCAGTAGATCCATTGTGATCAAGACCCAGACTTTTTTATAAAACAGGGAATCAGTGTGGGAGTAGCGCGCCGCTTCGTCTCTGAGATCACCCAGTGGGCGAAAACATACATAAGTGTTCTTGAATTTTGAAATAGAGATATGTAGAGAGTTAATATATACTACGAAATTCTGCTGAATGGCCTTGCTACCACTCATAATATTGTTTTCACCTACCCGCCCTTTAGTTGAGATATTCTAGAGATCAAACGATAACAATTTTTTAAAAATTTATCTGTCATATCTCATCGACCTTGACGCCTGCATGCTGAAAGTGACCGTTTGCGCTTTTCTCTCTTGCGCCTACGCAGCTCACACACCACTCTAGGAAATTATCAAAGCCTTGGTCAGGATTATCCTTATAGAATGCCTAATGCCTCCGGATAAACGCCTTGAGCTCAGCAAAAAACTCCTCGATGGGGTTTAGGTCTGGTGAGTAGGGAGGCAGGTACATTACTTTCACACCTGCATCGGAACACATTTTCTCTATCCGGTCAGAATGGTGAAAAGAGGCGTTGTCCATCACTAGAACAGATTTAGGTTCCGGCCACTTTCCACAATACTGCAGGAGCTCCTTAACGAAATCCTCAAAAACTGACCCGTCGGTCGATCCCCGAAACACTCGGGATATGACGATGCCATCCTGAGCGTAGGCTGGCAGTATCTGGTACCGTTGATCGCGATGGAATTTAGAGAGCTGAACCGGTGCTATGCCTAGCGGTGACCAACCGGTTCTCCGGAAGCCAATCCGTTTATCACACCCGGACTCGTCGATATACACTAGATGGTACGACCGGAATTCGGACAAATTGTGAAGAAAACAATCTCGTAGATCGGCATTCCGTTCCCTGGCCTTCTGTCGCGAAGTCTTCTTTGACCATTTCTTAGAGATCAGCGCTCTTCTGATGCTGGAGGCGGTTACGTATATGTCAAACTCATCCCACACAAACAACGCCATTTCGTCGAGATAGAGTCCGGGCTTTTCTAGTAAATGGTCGCAAAGAGCCTCCAACATTAGTGGAGTGATACTACGCGGTCGGCCTGCTCGAATAGAGGGCGCTCTGGTATCGCCGAATTGCCGCAGATTGCTGCGGATGGTGGTGACGGAACGCGGGCTGCATTCTGCGGCATCAGCGATCTGGGCCGTAGTCAGTGAGTTGCTCAAGATCATATCGCGAATGAATTCTCGGGTGGAGGAAGGCAGATTTGGAGCTATTTTGTGTCGTGGGTGTTCGTCTCGTGGTGGTGGGGAGGGAAATCAAGGTGCTAAGAGTTGCGACAGCTGCGAATGACGTAAATTCGACGCTTCGGTGTATTGGTCTTGTCAGATACTTTACATTTCCATTCTGACGCACAGGAATGATCTGCAGTCTAGCCTGATTGAGCCTAGGTAGTTTCACCATCGGCTTGGCGTTAGGGTTTGAGAGAGTTTCTCTGTGTAAAATGTGGAAGCCAATTTCGAATCTAGCTGTATAGAGATGATTTTACGTTCAATGGCGCTGAGAGAACGATGGTACCCCCGACGTAGAAGCAGGTCCCGGAGCGACTTAGGACGGATGCATCTGGACAAGAAGTAGATCGTGATGACAATTTCCTCATTCGTCCAATTTAACATGTTAAATACATTCTTCGTCCTCACAGGTGCTTCCCCCTCGGCCAATTTATATGGTCTTCAAAATAGCGAAAGTCTCATCAATGAAGACAATTGAATGAGGGCTAGTGCGTTGGCAGTCAAGAATGGACGACTCTGCAATGAACTTTCGGCTTATTTTGTAATGCAAAAATTGTGATGGCAAAGACGACCGATCTAATTGTCCTTATTTGCTCCCGGAAAAACCCTGTTCATCAAGTGAACCGTTTCTTTCTCGACACCGATTTGTAGACCACGACTTGTTCCCTATTGATTAAGATACTTGCCCGCGTATAGCTTTGACAACTCGTTCACAAATAGGCAATTATAACGGATACTAACCTAACCCTAGCCTAGCGTATAGGCTCTGTTACGTAGATACTATGTTGGCTTGTGTCTATTATCGTACCCGCCCTTCCTTCAAGTTTAGGTATATAGCATAAGTAAAAGCCCGCTATATAGTCGACGCCCTAGTCTAGATTGGGGCCACTAGCGCTGTGGCGGCTAAAAGAAATATCACTAGAAATTTCTCTGGGCCCTTATAGGATTCCTTCTACGCTACCAGAATTCGTGATGCATAGGGTTTTGTAGTGACATTGATGGCGATAATCAAAACGCCCTTGGCTCGTAGGGCAGATGTTTGAGCTCCTAGGAGCACTTAGTCTCCTAGGAACCGAATATATGTTCCTAGGAACAAGGACCGCTTTCTCAGCCAAAATACACCTCGCTAAACAATTGCTACTAAGTAGGTACGATAATATCACCGCGAGGGAAAGAATGCATATATATAGTGTGTTCGACTTTTTGTCTGCACAGACTAAGCCAGAAGACAAACGCCGGGGCGATCATATGATTGAGAAGCTACTCGTTCTTCTTAGCTACTATATATGTAACAACAAACGGTTAATAACAAAAGGTTATGAATTGAGTAAGAAGTGGTAAGAGGCAGATTGCTCAAAAACACTCAATATCTTCTAGCATACTAACTTCGGCCTTGAGTGAGTGGCATTCCGCCTTATCCTCGGCATAATATTCATTTATCTAGATATATCAATTGAACAATAGTCCGATCCAATACATCTATTATATAGAAAACTTCTAGATAGTCTTTCACATTGTAGCTTTATGGCCTTTCCGAAAATTCGTTTAGTCACACTAAATATACTTGGTGAAGATGAAATATTGCGTAGATAACGTATAGACGGAGTCGCATATAACACTACTTTCACGGTTCAGTCTGTATATCAAGTAGATAGTTAAAAGAGGCGAATAAGAGAACTATTCTTATTAAAGAAACGTTGGGCAAAAGTACAGTTGAAAACGTAACGGCGGTTATCAAATAGCGATGAATCAACACACGTTCAACAATACACGATCAACAACACACGGTCAACAACACACGGTCAACAACACACGGTTAACAACATATGGTCAACAACACACGGTCAATAACACATGTCAACAACAGACTAATGAGTGATGGGCGGCAGACTGCCTAACCTCTAGATCGTTCATTTGCGTTAACGCTTTCTATGAATTGATTTACTAGCACTTAACATAATCGATTGATATGAAATACTAGGCAAATTAATTGGCTAGTAGATAGTCGAGAAGTGGTCAAGAAGTGGTCAAGAAGTGCATTAGCACAAGAAACTAATACGCTGGATTTGGTAGTTAGTTATAGATAACGATAAGCAGTAGCCAATAGGCCGCAAAAAAAGAGCCTACTATATGTATTACAGTATTGCACGTAGAGAATCGCCGCCGGTGTACTAACGGGTTGGTACCGTATCAAATGAAATATCTTTTATTAAACTAGCTGAAGTTTAGAAGCTTCGTAAATACACCTTGACATGCCCATAGTTGCGTTCCTTGGCAATGGCATATGCCGTCTGGCTATTTGAATCTTTTAGTCGCTTTTTGATATCACGCTGACTGGCCAATAGCTGTACAACCTTATAATGCCCACTAGCCGCAGCCCACCAGAAAGATGTCCTTCCCTGATCGTCCACCGCATTCATATTTATGTTGGGATAATCCAATAGTATTTTGACAAACTCCGACTTTCCTTGAGCTAACGCGAACATAAGCGTAGTGAAGGAGTGACGGCCTTGGTTATTGATTAACAAAGTTTCTTCGTAGGTGAGGAGGAGGCGCACAATGTCGAGATGCTCTATAATGATTGCGACTTGAAGTGGCGACGTCCCTAATAGGCTTTTTTGGTTAATGTCGGCTAAATTTTGGAGGAGAAATTCCACTATTGAAAACTATCCTGCGCGATATGCCGACCAAAGTGGTGGTAATATATTAGTAGATTGAGGATTTATATAAAGCCCCGGCTATCGGAAGAGAATTTTGACCAATGCTAAGGAGCTATTTGCGGCAGTATTTGCTAAAGGTGTTTGGCCTAACTTGTCAGCGCAATTTAGGTCTAGACTTATTTGTTGTAGGAGTAGTTCAGCTAGCTTTGCTTCGGAATTATCTACCGTATACTAGATTGCGGTGCGTCTATTCTCGTCTTAGTAGTTAAGGTTAATATAGTGACTTAGAAGCAAAGCTTCAACGATAAGCAACCTTTTATTGATAGGAAGAAAACGACCGTATCCTTTGACAGCCAAAAACAACGGAGTTTCTTGTCGGTGGTTGAAATAGTTGACATAAACCCGCGGGTTTCGCACAAGCATTTGAACTGCCCTATAGTCGCCAATTTCTACCGCTATATATAGTGGGGTTTGGCCATAATGATCGCAGATATTGACATTTGTCCGTATATCAGACAAGAGAAGTTAGAAGATATAAGTATAGCGACAAGTTAGCGCGGTTATAATAGGCGTATTTCTGTCTAGGGATTGGTTATTGAGATCAATTTTCTGTATATTGACGAGACTTTCGACAATTCTGACGTACCTATATAGAACTACTATCGAGAAGGCACTTTCTCCTAAATTGTTACGCTGTATGACTCTCACTGAATAATGGCTTAAGAGCAAATCAACAGCGTCTGCGTACCGCAACTTTGTAGCTAGCATGAGCGGTGTAAGGCCAGAGAAATTTTGGTTGATATTTGCCTTTTCCCAAACAAGAGAGTGCTAGACGATGCCTAAGCTTCTATGTTTGATTGCCCAATGAATTGGCGGGGCGTCGTAGAAGTTAATGCAATCAAATAGGCACTTTCTGAAGATGACGTTAGAGTCTCGAGACGTAAGACACAGACTTCGAAGGTCTTTCTTGTCTAGGGACTTGCCAATCCAGAGAAGGATTTCCAATAGAAGTCCCAAAAGCGGCATGTTCGCAGAGGTTTATGAACTTGAGATGGCACTATGCGGATATAAGTAAAAGCTAACTT